TTCACTCGACGCAGGGATACCTCCTCCCCGCCTTCCTCCCCCGGCCTCGGACCCTGTCGGCCGTCCCGGCGAACGGACCACGCCCGAGATGGCGGACACGTGGCACTGGGGAGGCAGGGGCTAGCGGTGATGCAGGGACGGCGGCTGTCGGATTCAAGCTCAAGCGTTTCGGTGCTGGGAGTGGTGGAGGAGCAAGGGGGGGACGCGGGCGAGGGGTCGCGACAAGGATCGGTAGACGCTTTCGAGGCGATGAGCAACAGCAGCCAGATCAGCGACTCCGGTAGCTACAGCGGCTCCGCGCCCACCGCCGCGCGGAACGGTCATGTCTACTCCACGGACGCCGCGAGGCAGAGCCGTTTGGATCTTGAGCCGCGCCACGCCGGGCAAGCAGCTAGACTAGCCACCCCTGCTGATGTGGACAGGTATCACGAGAGCGGTCGGCAGTTGGGGCAAATGTTACGGGGGGCCGCGGGGCCGGCGCGCATTGTCAGCCCCGCGGAACGCGCCGTAGCTGCGGAACTTGCGACATTGGCGGATTCCGTCACGGACGCAGACGTGTATGCGCCGTCCCCCGCCGCAGCCGCGCTTATGTCCGCAACGGACGGGCTCTTCTCCGCCGCGTCCGCTTACGCCTCCGCCTCTGTTCCCCCGCCCCCTGGCGCGCCTTCACCAACACCCCTCTACAGTCTCTCCGCGCATCAGCCTGTCTCATCCTCCCCGTGGCCCCCGACGGTTGTTGCGCTTGCGCGTCCACCTGAGGCGGGGCTGGGCGGACTTGATGTAAGGGCGCGGTTGGGGCGCACCCTGGGGTACGGGAGCGCGGGCGGAGGGGGGGAGGCCGGGGGGAGGTGGGCTACAATGGAGTCGAGCATTGAGGGGCAGGGGCGGGAGAGGCAGCATCAGCAGCAGCAGCAGCCAACGAAGGACGCCAAGGAGCTGGCACGGTCGCTGCTGCTGCAGCTGTCGGGCGGCAGAAAGGCGCCGCTGGGGGGAGGCGCGCCGCAGGTCATTGCGGTGCGCGATCGGAGTGGAGGGGAGGCGGCGCAACGGGACTCCGGAGCCTCGGGAATGCCGGCTGCAGTCCGCGGGGATGGCATGAGCGGGCAGCGGCAAGGGGTGGAGGGGGCGACGAGTGCATTCCCGGGTCGAGGGGCCGTGACCGGCAGGGAGGAGGAGCAGGGAGAAGTTGACTCGATTATGACTCAGCGAGGTGCTTATAACGAGAAGCAACGCGGTGACACTGAGAGGACGGGCGGTGGCGTGATGGGCGGTGCGAGTTTCGACGATGACGTGATGGTGATGGCGGGCGAGGACGAACAGCACGAGGAGAAGGCTGCGTGGAGGCAGCCGTGGTCGCAGCGACGACTGCAGCAGGATGACGTGCCGCCGTCGCCGCCGCCGCTGCAGCAACAGCAACAGGAGCAGCAGCAGCAGGAGGAGGAAGAAAGGATGGATCATGAGTTGCAGGAGCATTTGCAGAAGCAAATATCATTGCAGCAGCAGATCGACTTGCAGCAGCAGGAGGAGGAGCGATCAGAGGAGGCGGAAGCAGAGAGTACGGAGGAGGAACGGGAGGAGCGGCTTGAGCGTATGCGAGCAGAGGAGCAGGCGGTGCAGCAGAGGCAGCAGAAGCTGCCATCGCAGCCGAGTCTATTCCAGCAGCAGCAGGGGCAGCAGCAGGGGGCGGCGGGGGGCAGCCCCGTGTCGACTCTGGATGTGGCGCTGAGCAAGGGGTCCCCCTCAACCGATGCAGGTGAGGAGGAGGGCGGGCTCGCCTTGCACGCGCGCATGCACGCACTCGCCGACGCCCACGCCCACTGGCTCGCCGCGGATGCCAGCCAAATAGAGGACCTGCAAGCTGAAGAGGACATGGCGAAGCATGGCGGTGCAGAGGCAGAGGCAGAAGCCTGTGGGGAAGCAGAGCGCGTGTGGGGCGATGAGCCTTGCGTGCCCGCCCAACAGGCGCTGCCCCTCTTGCACACACAAGGTGCCTGCCTTGCTGCCTCTTTCTGTGCCGTGGGGCTGTCACTGCACCCCTCCTGCCATGTTGTGCCATGTGTCTCTCTTATATGTCAGCTGGTGCCATGTGTCGCTGCATTGTGCATGGATGGATGGACCTCCTAGCATCATGCTTCCTGTCATCACATGGAGTGACCCTTTCCATTCACTATCCTCCTGCTGTGCCCTGAATTTGCTCCTCATAACATCTTGTTCCTCTCTCTCCTCTCCTCCCAATCTCCACTCGCTGTGCAGGAGACAAGGCACCCGACTCGTCCCTGCTCGCACCAGCAAACCCTCCTCCTGCCCCTCCTCTCACCACCGCTGTCACCCCCGCAGCAGGACCTCTCCAGCCGCCCCTCTCAGCGCCCCCGCCTGCTCTCCCCCTGCCACCACTGGAGTCGCTAAGCACAGTGGACCTGGGCACACTCGCCTTTGTGCCGTCACCAGCGGGCATGGAGGAGGACCTCGAGTACATCCGCTATGTGCTCGTTGCTGCTGGCTTCGCCAACCGCTCTCTCCCCCCTGCGGCGTCTCCAGCTGCGCCCATCAGTGCGGCGGTGTTTGAAGTGCTGGAGGCGGAGTTCCTGTCGCTGGATGGCATCATTGTTGACCCCGCCAACCCCCTGGGGCCTGTCACGGGGCAAGCAGCATCAGGAGGCAAGGCAGGAGGTCCAAACGCATCATCGCCAGAAGCAACAGCAGATGGGTTGTCGGAGAGTGAGAGCCTGCCATCAGATGCAGCGCCGGCCTTCTCCTCACCAGCCCTCCCTGCCAATTACCCTGATGAGCGGCGGCAGCGCCGCCTCCTCTTTGACGCTGTGAACGAAGCTCTCGGCCGCCGCCTCGTGCCTTTCCTCCTGCCCTCCCAACCGTGGCAGCACCTGCATGCCGCCTGGTCTGCACCCCTACGGAAACGGCCAGCTGGGCGGCGGCTGCTGCAGGAGGTGTGGGCAGAGATCCACTCGTGGGCTGTGCCCATGTCTGATGACGTGTTTGACACCCTGGATGACCTGGCACGAAGGGACTTGTGGAAGGGAGTGGACACGTGGATTAACATGGATAAGGCTGTGGATGATGAGGTGCCAGATGTTGTGTTTCAACTGGAGGAGGTGCTGATGGGCGAGTTGATTGGGGAGATGTGTGCGGATTGGATGGAGATAGGGAGGAGAAAGCAGAGAGGGAGAGATGGAATGCTTGAGTTGATGGATGGAGGAAAGCACCATGGTGGAGGGAGTGATGTGTTTATAGCAGGAAAGGATGGAGGCAAGGCAGGTGTGGTAGCCGTGGAAGAGAAGGAGAGTGGTTCGGCAAGAGGGTCACCGGTTGGCAGTGGAAGCAGGTCTCTACGGTGGCTGAGGCTTGGGAGATGAGTGATTTGAACTGACGTTTTACACCAGTCCTAACACCATCGCTGAGCTAGAGTAATCTAGCCATGCACTGGATCTGATTTGTGATAATAACTTCGTCAATGCGTGCAAGCTTTCCTACACACCCCTTTTGTTGCACCTGGCCCTGATTCAAATGCTTGTATTCAATGCAGTTTGCATTTTCCTTGATTTTGTACCGAATACATGGAGCTTTGCCATTGCTTGAATTAGTGCTGCAGTTTACATCTACAGCACGCAATTTTCGTGATTCGTGATTCAGCTGTGTTCCGCATTGCCGCTTGTTTGCTCGCATGCTTTCACCCCTGCCACGACAACTCCAAGGTTATCCCGCCCTAGTTACACAAGCAGCGCACCTGGCGGCAGCTCAGACGACACCACTCTTCCTGAACAGACACGCCACAGACCTTGACCTGACACCCGCTTGGGTAACCTCCGTCGATATTTTATCGTACTAGGTGGTGTGTAGGCGACTCCGCTTTTCGACCCCCGAAAATGGCTGCCACCGCCTCGGCGATTGCCGCGTCTAGACCAGATGGTTACTTGATAGCCATGATCGCAGATGAGGTAGGGCGAACTTGGATCAGCGATCCCTCACTCTAATTCTCGCGTCGTTCTTCTCACCGAGTTCGTGTAGGTGGGTAGAAGACCACGATAAATGACATATTCCTCACATTATTCCGTCAAATGCGCAGGACACGATAACCGGATTTCTGCTGGCCGGAGTGGGCCACATGGACGTGCGGCGACGGAAGAACTATCTCGTCGTCGACTCCAGTGAGCTCTTCGCGACTGGCCCTGAGTCTGTATTTTTCAGGTTATCTTCGATTTGGCGCTGATCAGGAGGTTTTCTGCTCGTGTGTTTTCAGAGACCCCTGTGCGACAGATCGAGGAGTCGTTTAAAGAGTTCAGCAACAGGGAGGACGTCGCCGTCATTCTTATCAGCCAATATGTGGGTCGCCTCGATCATCATTCAACAGGGAGCTGCAGTCTGAATTACGTTCATCTCGTTCTCGCCATTAAAGCCTTGTTCCTGTGCCGTGCAGATCGCCAACATGATTAGGTACAGCATCGACAGCTACAACAAGCCCATACCAGCCGTGTTGGAGATCCCCAGCAAGGAGCACCCGTACGACCCCAACCAGGACTCCATTCTCTCGCGCGTCAAGCACATGTTTGCCTCCTCTGAGTCCGTTTCTGACTCCAGGGTCTGACACGCCCCGCGCACGCTCACACGCTCACGGCCATCTTCAAATCGTTCCTTCATTACCAAGCTCGTTCAAGCTCCTGCCTGATTCCGGTTTGCTCTCTGCACTCTCCACAGCCTGTCCCTGTACGCATGCTGTGTGCAGGTTGGTTGCCCATACCACACTAGAAGTTTCATATTCAATAGTTGTGTAGCTTATTGGTTTGTTTCCTTAACAGATGCAGACGATAGTGATACATGACAAAGCTGTATCAAGCATATGGTGCCCCAAGTCACTACATTGATGAAGCCTGTACACTTTCACCACAGAGCAAGTAACCACCAAATCATTCCAGCTAGGAGTTATCAAATATTTCAGCTCCTTGGCATGAGGCATGCAGGAGTAGTGGTGTGGGACATGTCTCACGTCACATGTCAGGTGTGGCCTCCTCTGTGACAATAGTGAGTGTGACTGTCTTCCCATGTGCCCTCTTGACAACGAGGGGCACCTTCACGCCCACCTTATCTCCCAGCAAGTCCAGCACCTGGCGGGAAGAGGTCACTGGCTGCCCTGCAAACTCCACTATCACATCACCTGGCTGTAACCCACCCCTGGCTGCAGGCGACCCAGGAATCACCTGAGGGGGGTGGGAGAAGAGCAAAAGAAAAGACAGAGTGAGATGGTCAAGAGGAAACAAGGCAGCAGCACAAGCAACGCAGGGCTACACTACGAAGGACATCCAGCAGTGTTGGTCTGGTCTGACTGGCCAAGAGTTGCATCACAGACATGGACCCGAGAGCTCACACGCCACCTGAGCCCACGTGGCCCCATAACAGCAAGTCACCTGGGGGACGAGAATGCCGGCATCGACCGGGGGGAAGGAGGGGTCTCTGTCCCTCAGCTGTGCTGCAATGGAGGCGTTGAGCTCCAACATCTTGATGCCCACGAATGGCCGCACCACTCTCCTGCACTTGGGGTTGAGACGAGAGGGGGAGGGATGGGAAAGGGGGAACGACAAGAGGAGAAAGACGGCAAGCTGACCCAGTCTGTTCCACCTCTCCTGTCCCCCATGCGACCTCTGCTTTCTTACTCAACATGCCCTTCCTCTCGCGCATCCAAATCTAATCATAAACTGCAGTCAATAGGGATGGTGGAACAGACCCTTCTGTTGCTGTGCCCCCATGCCCCTTGCCCCCTCTGTTCTCCTCGAATGCAATTTTCTACCCCCCTCTGTTCACCAGTGCCACTCACCCATGGCGGGAGAGCTGGTCCAGGATGTGAACCGCGGAGTCGATGGGGATGGCGAAGCTGACCCCATCAGCTGCCAGCGCCTTCATGTTGTTGATGCCCACCACCTCCCCGTCCAGATTCACCAGCGGCCCCCCGCTGTTGCCCTGCTCCCCCATGCGTGACACGCACACACACGCCGTTCATGGTTTGTGAGGACGGATTTACCAGCAGGCAAAGGTGCGCGGATACAGATGGATGGTAATGGCATGACCCGGGACAGCATCTTATGGTGTGGAAGCATCTCACATGAGATGGCGTGGCAGAGACTGTTGTGCATGTGTGCGTGGGGTTGCTGCTGTGCATGTTCACACCGCATTGATGGCTGCATCTGTCTGAATGTAATCCATTCGACCTCCCCTCAGCCCCAGCTCTGTGCCCTTGCGATCCACACAACTGCACGCCACCGTGGGAGGGCAGAAGAGGAACAGCAGGAACAAGGTTCACGACATGCCACAGGTAACACTGTGAAAGACTATGTCACCGCATATGCAAGGGATGCATATGCAATAACAGTAGAGTGCGGTGCTGTGAAGTAGTATAGCAAATAGCTAAGAATGCATTGAGGTAGATAGATAAGAAGTAGTGTAGGAGGTGTAGCCAGTAGCGAAGTGTCGGTTGCAAAGGGGTGCAGAAAGGGGGAAATATGTGGGAGCGGTTGGGATGAAGGGGGAAAAGCACCGAAGGGCGAAATGTGGGATTCGAACAAATCCCAACCTCGAGCCGCACATTGGAAATGTGCAAGCCGAGGTTGGGTAAGGTCACCCACGCCCACTCACTCGATGCCTATTGTTCAGTATTCTTTCATACTAGTGCAGGGCTGTTATCCTAGCTACTACACGCGGTGGCACAGCACTAAGAAGGAACCGGTGGGGTGAGGGAGTGATCACGTTCATACTGAACAATAGGGCGCGACACGCAGTCATGGATAAATATGAGCTACGTTGGGGTAGGGTGTTTAGTCGCCGGGAGGAGGAACGAGCACGAGGTGAGCCGTCACGCGAGCGCGGGCGATCTCTGGAGCGCTCGCCGCGAAGGCCGGCATTTCGCGCAGATAGAGTCCCCGTCGCTGGGGACCGACGGGCGGAAGGGAGGCCTAGCGTGGCAGCGGGTGGAGAAGGATACGCCGCAAGCGCGGACGGAGACGTGTGGCGAAGAGGGCATGATCGCGGAGATGGATACGGGAGCGGAGACCGACGCGCTGTGGGAGTGTTCCGCTCGCCGGAAGAGCGCGGGCGCCGCCGTGATGAGAGGGGCCGTTGGCAGGGCGTCGAGCGATTCGACGCCAACCAAGGAGGGGAGGCCGCAGAAAAGGAAGAAGCGTGGGAGACGTCCGGCGAGGAAGAGGCAGAGGAGGACGCAGCGAACCTGGAACGGGCGGTCGAAGACGCCAACGGAGAAGATGACGGCGAGGAACCCGCGGCTGGGATCGGAAGCGCCGAGCCTGAAGAGGCGGACGTTGCCGGGGGCGCAAGCCAGGCAGGGGCGGAAGGATCGCGGTCGGGACGGTCGGAATCACGCGGCCGCGACGCAAGCCGCCAGGAGGAGCATTACGCGGAGAGGTCGCGTCAGCAGGAGCGGCGGGACTGGGGCGTGCATGCCGGCGCTGTGGGGACGCAAGGAGAACACGGCAAAAGGGAGGAAGAGGGACCGCGCGCGTCAGGGGAAGGATCGCGGCGCTGGGAGCGGCCTTCTGTTAACCCTCGCGCACTCGACTGGCGCCAGGCACAAGGGGGCTGGGGCGAAGACGGCGCACGATCGCCGGACAGGCAGCTGATGCACAAGGGAGGATGGGAGGGCGAGCCACGCGCAGCCAGCCACCACTGGCGGCGGGAAGAAGGACGCGAGGAGGGGCCCAGCTCATCAGAGAGGCGCGGCCAGCGGCAAGAGGGGCGCGGCGGGGAGGCACGGACGTCTGGCCCGCAAGCGCAATGGGAGAGGAGGGTGAGCGGCGGATTCCACTCGCCTCTCGTCCGGCAGCAGCGGGGAAGAGAAGGCGGCGGAGACAGGCGCTCGCCCGGAGATCGTCGGCAGCAAGGAAGGGGAGAAGCATGGGAACCGTCGCCAGAGAGGCAGCGGCAGCGAGAGACGAGCACGGCGAGGTGGAGAGAGACACGAGTCTCGCCGGCACGAACGCGAGGGCGTGCGGGGGAGGAGAGGGGCCCGAGAGAAAGGCACGGTGACTCGGGCTGGAACCGGCGGGAGAGCAGAGCTGGAGGGGGGAGCTTAGCATATGGCGCTGAGCGGGCCCGAGAGGCCAGGGAAGGCATGGAGAGGGCCAAGGAGAGAAGGACTGGGGAAGAGCGGCTGGGAGGGGCCAGGGAATCGTGGGGAGAAGGGCGGGGAAGTACAGCCAGCGCGACGCGGGTGGAAGTGCCGGCGAGGTTCTCGGGGGACCAACGGGTGGGGCCGGCCCTCAAGAATTACTTGATGCAGGTGGGGAACGTGAGATACCGCTGTGACAGGCAAGGCATGGACCCAGTAGACTTCTTCTTGAGCCTGCCCAACACACTGGAGGGAGAGGCGGAGACCCTGTACCGCATGAGGATGGACGAGCTGCTGTGGAGGGCAGGGAGGTACGGGGAGGATCCCACCGAGGCATTTCTGGAGCGGCTTCAGTGTCAATTCCCGGGACACACGGCGGAGCGCATAAGGGAGTTTCAGGAGTTCAGGAGGGGACGAACAGAATCCCTACTGACCTACTACAACCGACTGATAAACTTGGCGGAAGATGTGAAATGTTCGGACAGCAGCCTCCTCATCAGTAAGTTTCTTGGAGGCCTGGACGAAACACTGGGGGGGGGACTGAGGATGAGGGTGTACGAGTTGGGGGCGGATGCGGCACTAGAGGAGGTGTTTGACCTGGCGGAAAGGGTGGAGCTGGCACAAAGGAGGTATGAGGCCTACCTGCCGAGGCCGACAGAGAGAAGCCGCAGACCGACATGGGCGGCGGCTATGATACCAGAGGAGCGAGGGAGGGTGGACCCACACGGGGAAGAGAGAGCCGACGCGCGCACCTGCTACCGGTGTGGACAGATGGGGCACCTCCGCAGAGAGTGCAAAAACTGTGATGGATGTGGGAAGCCTGGGCACCGGAAACGAGAATGTCCGGATGCGGCGAAGTGTGAAATCTGCGGGAAGAAGGGGCACGAGGCCAAGGAGTGTTACCAGCGGGAGGGAGGGGCAAGGAGGAAACCAGAGGAGCTGCAGCGGCAGATCAGCAGGCTGCAGTCTCAACTGCAGGCCATGGGGTCAGGGTGGGGAGCGGAGGCGGGGATGTACGCTAGGGACGAGGAGGGAGAAGGGGTGGAGCCGGACGTGCAGTGTGCCCTCATGGCCTGGAAAGGCAGGGAACAGATGGGGCTGCGTAGCGGGGGGAAGGATGGCAGGCAGGAGCATAGCCGGAAGCCACGTGAGCAGGGGTCCAGGCCGGACGCGCCAGGAGGAGAGAAGACCCCAGCCCGCCACCCGCAGGAAAGACTCGCGTGCCAGACCTCGGTGCTGCTCGTGGAAGCAGGAGCGGTGGAAGTGGGGGGGATGAAGGTAAAGACGGCGATCATTGACACAGGAGCACAGAGCGTGATGCTGGGTAAGGGGATGGCCGAACGGTTGGGGCTGATGGCCCCTGAGAGGCACGTGGCGAAGGGGATGTTAGTCATGACAGCAGAGGGAGGGGAACCAAAGTGGATGCCGTGCACACGGACCCCCATAGAGTTGACACTGCTGCCAGGAGGGGAGCATGAAACAAGGATCAGGATGAAGTGTGGAATCTCGGAGTCCGAGGACTTTGATCTGCTGATGGGGACGGAATTGGTGTTCGCTGTAGGCATGAGCATATGTACCTGGATGGAGAAGGTGGAGTTCCGAACGAGATACTGGAAGAAGGAGGGACCATTGGGGCAGCTGCCAGTGCAGTTTGTAAGGGTGGAGCCGAAGCGGGCCTATCAGGTCGGAGCAGGAGGGGCACAAAGGGGGCAGGGAGGAGCAGCAGAGACCAAGGAGGGGCCCAGGATGAAACTGATGGACAAGCCGGGGCAGCATAGCGATTGGCAGCAGCCCATCCGGCTAGTAGAGTTGTTCGGAGGAATCGGGGCAGGGCTGGCGGCAGCAGTGAGGAGTGGGATTGCAGTGCAGCAGTGGGTCTATGTGGAACTGGCACCACAGGTGAGAAGGATGGCTGAGCATCACGCGCGGAAGCTGAGAGCTGAGTTCCCGGACCTCCTGAGTGAGAAAGTAATTCAGGAAGCCATGAGCAGTACGGTGCACGATGTGAGTCAGATCACAGAGGAGCAGGTGGCCAGCTGGGGGCAGGTGGACCTGCTGGTGGCGGGATGGGAGTGTCAAGGGGTGTCATGGGCAGGAAAAGGGAAGGGAGGGGAAGACCCGAGGAAGAAGCTGATGGACAACCTGTTCAATATCCTGGAGTGGCTGCAGGAGAGGCAGGGCAGAGTGGCTTACTTGATAGAGAATCTGGATCTAGAAGGGGATTGTAGAGAGTCGATTCGGCTGGTGAGGGAGAGGATTGGCCGGCACGTGGGAAAAGGGATGAGCTGTGATGCAGCCAGGGCAGGGTCGTACGCTCACCGCCTCAGGATGTACTGGCAAAACGTGGTTCCCGTGCTGGATCTGCAGGAGGAAGCAGAGGGGATGAGGAGGGCTACAGGGAGGAGGGTGGTGGACATCCTGGAGCCGGGACGGACTCCCGCGCCAGTTTGTCAAAGAAGTTACAGCAGGCACTACCCGTGCAACCAGGTGGGGCAGGACAGGAGGGCTCTGCCCACCTTGGTTGCTTTTGCAGAGGCAGCAGGCTACAGGTGGGAAAAGGGGGAGCCCGGACCCGGGCTGATATATGACCACAAGCGGGGACGGTGGGAGGAACCGACGGCATTAGAGAGGGAGCTGGCTATGGGATATGGAGAAAACGTGACGGCAGCACCAGGGGTGAGCGAGGAAGACAGGAGGAGGGCAATGGGGAATGCCATGGATGGCTACATGATGAGGTGGCTGGTGCAGAGGATGTGGCGAGAGATGGTCTTGGGTGGGGGGCAAGAGGCAGATAAGGTGGCGGCAGCAGCAGCCCCACAAGGAGCATGGACCTGCCAGGAGGAGGAGGGAGAGAAGTGGACAGTGGGGGAAGCGATGAGTGAAGAGGGAAGGGAAGTTATGCTGGGACTGCTTGCCAAGCATAGGAAGTGCTTTGCCTTCACACTGCAAGAACTGGGAAGGTGCAAAATGAAGGAGATGGAGCTGAAACTGAGCAGCACAGAGCCGGTGTTCCAACGGCGTAGGAAGATGCCGCACGGAGATGAAGAGATATGCAAGGAGAAGATTAAGGAGCTGCTAGCGGCCGGACTGATCCGGCGCTCAGAATTAGAATACGCCACACCAACAGTGGTGGCAGCGAGGAAGGACTTAACAGGGGAGATCCTGAGCAGGAGGATGTGCGGAGATTACCGAGCGCTCAACAAGATTACCGTGGCGGACAGGTACCCAATGCTGATGGCGGAGGAGATATTTGACAAGTTAGCAGAGGGGGTGTTCTTCACGACGCTGGACCTGCGGCAGGGGTTCAATCAGATAAAAATCAGGGAGGAGGACGTTAGGAAGACGGCATTTCACGGGCCGGATGGGCTGTACGAGTGGCTTTACATGCCATTCGGGCTGAGGAACGCATCAGCAGTGTTTCAGAGAGTCATGGATGCAGTGCTGAGGGACGTAGAATGTGCAGCGTGCTACATAGATGACGTGATGATCTTCAGCACCTCCGAACAGCAGCACCTGCAGGATGTGGAGAAGACACTGGCAGCAATAGAAGCAGCGGGACTCACGTGTCACCCGAAGAAGTGTAGGTGGGGTGAGCAGACCGTTCAGTATCTGGGCTACGAGGTGACAGGGGGGTAGATCGGGATCCAGCAAGCAAAGGTGGAGGTGCTGGATAGGCTGCGAGAACCAAAGGACAAGACAGGGCTGAGAGCGGTGTTGGGGTTTCTGAGTTACTACCGGCGATTTGTGCCCAACTTCAGCAGGCGGGCAGCGGTGTTGAACGGACTGTTAAGGGAGGACAAGACATGGGAGTGGGGGGAAGCGCAGAAGGGGGCATTGCAGGACCTGATGGCGGCGGTGAAAACAGCAACCGTCTTGCAGCTGCCAGCAGCGGACCAACCCTTCACCCTCTACACCGACTGGAGCAGCCAAGGGATGGGCGGGATACTCTGCCAGGAGGTGGAAGGGGATGAGAAGGTGGTGGCCTACGCGAGTAGGAGCTGCAACTCGGCGGAGGCACAGTACAGCTCGTACACAGGGGAGGGACTGGCGGCAGTATGGGCTGTGGGGCACTTCAGGGTCTACTTGCAGGGGCGGGAGTTCACCCTGGTGACGGACCACCAGCCACTGACATGGCTGATGACTACACCAGGGTTAACAGGCAGGAATGCACGATGGGCAATGAAGCTGCAGGAGTATGACTTCAAAATCAAGCACAGGCCAGGAAAAACCTTGCAGCATGTGGACGGCCTCTCCCGTAACCCCCCACCGCTAGAGCCAACAGTGACCCTTGCGCTGCTGGCCAGACAGGTGGAGCTGAGCGGGGCCAGGAGGAGCAAGGGGCCGGCTGATATCTGGGAGGATGAGCAGGCTGTGAGATGGGTGAAGGGAGAGACAGGGGCAGACGAGGAGATGAGCGAGAGGGTGAGAGCAAGGGGGCACCACTACAGGTGGTACCAGCAGCAGTTGCAGATACAGACCGAGGGTGGGTGGAAGCTGGTGCCGGCCCCAGGTGACAGGGAAGCAGTGATAAAGGAGGTGCACTCAAAGCTGGGGCACTTCGGGCATGAGAGGACAGTGCAGTTGTTGAAGACGGGCTGGTGGTGGGAGGGAATGCCCAGGCAGGTGCAGAAGTGGGTGGAGGGATGTGAGGCCTGCCAAAGGAGCCGAGCAAACCTGACCCAAGCCAAGGCCGAGCTGCAGTCCCTGCCCATCCGCGGGTTAGGCTTCAGATGGTCCTTGGACCTGGCGGGGGAACTGCCGCTGAGCCGGGGGGGGAAACGGTACATAGTGCTCATGGTGGAGCACGTGAGCAAGTGGCTGGAGGTGAGGGCTATCCCCAGCAAGAGCTCAAGACATGTGGCAGCAGCATTCAAGGAGCAAGTAATATGCAGATTTGGGGCGTGTGCAGAGGTGCTCACCGATCAAGGCACAGAGTTTCAAAGGGAGTTCAGGGAGCTGTTAGAGGAAGCGGGAATCACCCACAGGCGCACCTCTCGGTATCACCCACAGAGTGATGGGCTGACCGAGCGCCTAGTGCAGACGTTGAAGCGAGGGCTACGGACATATGGGGAAAAAAGGAAGCGGGAATGGGACAATGAGCTACACTGGATTGCGGCAGGATATAGGTTTGGGAAGCAGGCAGCCCTGAGAGACCATTCACCCTACAGCCTTCTGTTTGGTTGTGAGCCGGTGCTACCTGTGGGGGCACCACGGGTCCTCACGGACACAGTGACAGCAGGCACCATAGACAACTGGGTGGCCTTGTCAGAGGCCAGAGCAAGGTACCTCCGAGTGATAATGCCAGCAGCGCTAGAAAACCTACACACGACACAGCTGAGAGACGCCAGACGTTATGAGCAACGCCAGCAGCAGGGGATGTTGGGAAGGAGAGAGAAAAAGGGAGCAAGTGAGGGGCAGGAGGTGTACCTGAAAAGGGCAAAACAGGACACGCTGGACGTCGGGGTGGGGACCGAGAGGTGGAGAGTGAAGGAAGTTCGGCCCTTGGGTATTCTCGTGCTGGAGAACGAAAAGGGGGCACAGCTGAAGGAGCACCAGACCAACACGGCCCTGGTGAGGGGGAGCAAGCCTCAGCAAGCTGGTCCTGTGACACGAGCTCGAGCTACCCAAGCGCGGGCACAGGAGGGGGCAGTGAGTGACTGAGGCAGGGCAGCACAGAGCAGGGAGTGTTGAAGAAGAACAACGGGAAGAAGAGCAAGTGCTGGTGAGGGTCACACACTCCGACAGCTGTCACCGCATATGCAAGGGATGCATATGCAATAACAGTAGAGTGCGGTGCTGTGAAGTAGTATAGCAAATAGCTAAGAATGCATTGAGGTAGATAGATAAGAAGTAGTGTAGGAGGTGTAGCCAGTAGCGAAGTGTCGGTTGCAAAGGGGTGCAGAAAGGGGGAAATATGTGGGAGCGGTTGGGATGAAGGGGGAAAAGCACCGAAGGGCGAAATGTGGGATTCGAACAAATCCCAACCTCGAGCCGCACATTGGAAATGTGCAAGCCGAGGTTGGGTAAGGTCACCCACGCCCACTCACTCGATGCCTATTGTTCAGTATTCTTTCATACTCGTGCAGGGCTGTTATCCTAGCTACTACACGCGGTGGCACAGCACTAAGAAGGAACCGGTGGGGTGAGGGAGTGATCACGTTCTGTGAGTGACTGAGGCAGGGCAGCACAGAGCAGGGAGTGTTGAAGAAGAACAACAGGAAGAAGAGCAAGTGCTGGTGAGGGTCACACACTCCGACAACTATCTGCCCCTACTCTGGCCATAAAACGCTCATTCACGTCACCCAACAAAAACACCTGAGATGGCCACCTGATGCTTGTATGCTGCCAGCATGATTACAGCCTGGACCTGACTGCATGTTCAACCACCAGCAGCACCTGAAGCCCCAGCCAGCAGCACCTGAGGGCGCAGGCAGCACCTGAAGCCCCAGCCAGCATGTGAAGGCGCATTCAGCAGCAGTGAAGGGGTGCGCCCACCTGACGATGCCGGCAGTGACGGTGTTGGAGAGGTGCAGAGGCGAGCCCAATGCCACCACCCAGTCCCCCGGCCGCAGTGCCTTGGACGACCCCAGCTTCACCACCGGCAGCGGTGACAGTGCTGACACCTGTGTTGGGCAGTGTGGCGGGTGAGAAGAGGAAAGGAGAGGAGAGGAGAGGAGAGGCAGGCAGCAAGGGTGGACAGCCACTCGAAGAGCACAGAAATTGGATTCGAGTAGCAAGGAGCAAAGTGATGTCAGCGTGGTGGAGAAGAGTGATGGGGGCAGCACAAGAGGCATCGCAAGGTGTTGGCCTACAGGTGTGGAAGCAGGAGAAAGGAGAGTGGTGAGACAGGTGGGTGAGGGCAAGAGCACGTGTTTTAGCACCTTGACGAGGGCGATGTCAGAGAGAGAGTCAAAGCTCAGCACGTGGCCGTCAAACGTGCGTCCGTCCTGCAGCGTCACCTGCAGCTGTTATGGGGGGCGACCGGAGGGGCAGGGCAGGCAGTAGTTGGCACGAGCATCAGCCAACAAGTCACCAGGACGCAGAAGTGAGTGTTTGCACTGTAAACTTTGGAGCTAAGTTGGGTAAGGGGGGGTGTTGGTCAATGGAGCAGAGAGAAAAGTGACAAAGGATCAGGTGGCAGTCAGGCTACACAGCCACAGTAGCTTGCGTTACCCTCGTCCTAGGGCCCTCACCATGCCCCCAGCGGCCTCACCATGCCCCTAGCGCCCCTCACCATGCCCCCAGCGCCCCCCACCCAGCGCCCCTCCCCCCCACCCCCCGTTGGCGCCCTGACCGTGGCGCGGGAGCTCCAGTAGGGCGCGGAGGAGGCGGAGGGGTCGACCATCTCCGCCACCACGTGCGCGTTGGTGAGAATGAGCCCGTCCGCCCTGATTATGGCCCCCGATCCCATCGCCTGCCCGCTGAACATGCCCCGCCCTGATGGGGAGGGGGGTGAAGGGGTGGGGAGGACGGGAGGGGGAGAGGAAAAAGGTGCAGGGGAATGTGACTGGCGACGGATACATGAAGGCGCACTCTTGTGGGACGCACATGCATGAACGCACGCATACATGAAAGCATGCATCCACGCATTCGCCCCTTCCCCCCACCCCCCACCTCTCCCCCCTCCCCCTCCCCCCCTCCAACACACACACTCACGCGGATTCACACTGTCCACGCACCCACACTGACTGTCAGGTTGACCACAGCAGGCGCTGCCCTTGCAGCCGCGTCAGCAATGGCATGTCGAGACAAACAATTCCGCCCACACGTCCCACCACCACTACTACTTGCATCCCCTTTCTCCCTCGCATCCGCCTCCCCATGCCCCGTCCCTGCCATTCCCCTTTCTTCACTCCCCCCCTGTTTCCCACTCTCAACTGCCTTCGTCCACTCTCCTTCCCCATCCTTAGGCCCTTTTCCCCTTCCCTCCTGCGCCTCCGTCTTTCCCCCAGGTTCCCCTTCCCCCGGGAGCAGCCGTTTAATCCCCTCAACCACGCTGCGGGGCGCGGAAAGGGATCCATGCGGGGGAGGTGCGGGCAGAGGCGGGGAGTCGGGGCCGGGGAAGGGGATAGCCGTTGGAGAGGCATCGGCGGTGAGAACCAGCCGCGGAATAACTCTTGAACGAGGCGAGGCTATAGCTTCAAGCGGAGATAACGGCAGGAAGGCATGGGTGGAATCTGCGGCGGCGGAGTCACGCGACTCGTAGTGGGGGAAGGCGGAAAACGGACCAGCGGATTGCGCGTGATGGGCGGATGGGAGCGGGGAGGGCGCATGAGGCGAATGAAGCGCAGTTGCCGCAGTCGCTCCGGCTGCCAGTGCGCCGACGAGAGCAGGAAGGAACCACGAGAAACGGCGCGACGATGATGAGGAAGGTTTAATGGGAGTCGCTGGCGTAATTGATTGGTGCAATCTCCGAATTCCCGTTTCCGCAGCTTGGAGCGGAGCTCGGAGTTCCGCGGCTGCCCCGGCCAGCAATCCCTGCGCAGAGGAAACCCGCTTGACGTCACCGACTCGCCGCGACATGCACCGTGCGAGCAGGTATGACGTCATGGCTCGAGAAACGAGATAGCCACCGCAATTGGCGCTGGAAACGTCGGTCACATTACACCTGAAAGCGGGCGCATTGCGAAAGCCCAGTTATTGATCCACACAGCATCGAGCACGTCATTAACACGCCATGCTTCGTTAGTGAACTTTGACTTCCTTCCTTATAACTGGTGAACATTATACAATCATACGAATCAGTTTCCACTGGTCAATGGGAAATCACATTTGCCCTCGTTAGTGTACTGTCAATGAAATCGGGTTGTTGTACATGAAAACATGTGGTAGCCTAAGGAAGCGGAAATATCTTGCTTCGCCTCGCCTGCGAGCGAGTCAGCGAAGTAGCAATCGACGCCATCACATCACACCCCCTTCTCGAAAACCTTCATTTACTGCGGATGATTGTATGGAAGCGTCCATCACGTGATCAGCACGCTGGTCCCAACGAATTAGTGATCTCGGCAGGCCCAAAGATCCGCCAGGCTGGATAGTGTGCAGCATAGTAGCAAGCCCTTGTAACAATTACAAGTACCCCAACGTTTTTGTCCATCCAACAGTGGTCTCAACTCTACTGTGTGCGGTGTAGTCTAGACTGGACTAAGTGCCTGCCATTTGCAGGGCGATACTGGCAGGGCAGCCGCAAAACAGACTGCGTTTGTGCTGGCAGAACCCCATCCGCTGTGAACCTGCAGAATGCTGGCGTTTCTGGCAGAGGTGTTTGTCCTTCAAGATTCGTCCTAAATTCTATCGAATCGGTCGATGAACCATGTGATAAACCCATGCGTTATCATTAATCCGCAACCGTTCCGGGGTTCCTACGAATGCCATTGGCGAAAGCGAGTCTTACAGACGCTGAGAAAATGATTCGGTTTTCCCAGCCATTCAGCTGTCTTTTCACGCGCGTGACAAGAAAAGAGTGTGAATCCTAGCTCCAAGATCAAAACAACTGTGCACTAATCTGAGTCTATAGTTATCATAGTACTTGTTTGATTGTGGGCTGTTCTCACCATTTTCTCCTATTATTTTCTTCTTTTCTCTGCCTGAATGCTACTCTTGGCCTGAATGCTACTCTTTCATACTAGCATCGTCCATGTGATCCACCCAGTAGGTTCTAGTGTCGAAACGGTTCAAGGCCGCTTGACTCGCTTGTCCGTTGAGATATATCATGAGGTATAATGCGAGGGTAATTAGTTTAAGCGGTGACTCGAATCATCCTAAACTTTGAAACGTGACCTGTGGCAGCTTCAAGGCTGTGAATTCGGCGGTAATACAGCAGGGCGTTCCATATTGGTCTGATCATTTCGAATTTTGACGCACAGCCAAGCACACATTCGTCGCCAGCCCATTCCTCGCCGCAGGATCGCACGAAGCAGCATATGCACGCCGCATTACCTGTGGGTGCGCTGTGTTACTGTCGCTGCATACCCCGCGCGATACTCGAATTGGCTTGGCACTGACGAAAAGATTGCACAGAGATGGTGCAATACGTCAATGCTAGATAACGAGGATTACAATGTGGTGAAGGCCAATGTCCTGATTGAACCCACAAGCAAGAAGACACTACTAACCATTCCTCAGCAATCAATAGTCCCATCCATGGAGCTCAGCTCAGCTGTCAGGGTATTCCCTAACCTGTCCCTATCGTGTACAGTTAGCAGTCCAGCCCGCCCGATCGATCCACGCAGACGTGTCGCGCGGCTATCTGAGAGCCGAGGGTTCAGCAAAATCAGCCAAGGCCCTCACTCATTCCCGCTGTCCTGACGCTCCTCTTGGGGGAGCAGGGCTTCAGGATGGATGGCGGAGGGGCTGAGAAGCTCCTAGGCTAACGCATTAATCAAGGGCATCGCCAGAAATGGCAACAGGAACCTTCGCAACTGCCAAATTCGCGAATGGGCCAAGTGATGCTGCTCAGTCGATGCAGCTCTCACATGCCGAAAGAATACCGCGTCGTATCCTCATCATTGGTCCCCCAACGCTGTTAGCGACGCGGTTTATGATCATCAGTAGCAATCACAGCTTGTTGCAAGTTAACTTCCTTCAAGCAGGAACCGTTAGTCTTGCAGGAAACATTTTCTCGATAGGTTCTCGAGCACGACGACAAAGAGCTAGTATGGCATCCCGTTCCTTCAGCTGAGCTTAACATCCGCCGCCGTGAATTGCGTGAGTAGTAGCAATACTGTAATCTGGTTTCCACGTCACGACCTCGTACAGGGCACGCAGTCTCTAATAATGTCAGACGGCGCAGCCGAATAAGGAGAAAACAGCCACCAAGCCGTTGGCGAGCGACGCGGCGTGCTCGCCATGGACCGATATCTGCGGGGAGCCGTAAGAACTCCGCACGAGGCGAGCAGCGCCGTGATTTCCGGCGATACCACAGGTTCCAGCGCGTCAGTTGTGGCCGTTGATTTCCGACACCAGACGCCGAATCCACTCACGAGCGTGTCCGCAGCGACGGCCGTTCATGGCTCTATGCCCGCCGAACGGTGGCCTTTACTTTGTAGTGCCGTCAGCAGCAGTACGAGTGGCAGCACGAGCACGATAAGCGCAGCGCACCTCGAGATCGCCGCGGCGCGGCCGCCATTCGATGCCAATTTGCAGCGGATACTGGACACCTCGTCACTCGGCGAATTCTGCAGCGCGGGGGAACCAAATCCGGTCCGCGGAAGTTTTCCCCCCTTTTACCCCGCACAGCGCCGCCTACCCGCGCGCTCGCTGCGCGGAGACCCGCCTGGCGGGTCCGCGGGGCCCCTCCCCATTGCACCGGCTCCGAATGTGTGGGGCGCCGCGAGCGCGCATCGCCTTCCCACTGCGGGCTTTCTTCCCGTCGTTCCCGAGGCCCTGGCGGCCGTTACGGGCGGCTCGAGCCCCGTGCACGGCCTCGTGTCGTTGCCGGAGCGCCTTCACGGCCTCTTCACCTCCACTGACTTTCTGCCTTCCGCCCAGTTACCCCCCAGCGCGCATGACGCCGCCTCCCGTGCTGCCGCTCACCGACCCTTACCCGCGTCGTTGATGCTGCCGCCACCGGAGCCACGAGCCGCCGGGACCGCCGGCAAGTCAGCTGCAGCCTCGGCGACAGCGCGTTGGGAGAGCGACTCGGCAGCCACGCTAGCAGCGCCGCTGACGACGTCGACGAGCGCGGCGCTGGAGGCGGGGTTTGCGACATTTGCGGGCTCTGATCGTCACGTCGACGACGGCGCCTCGAGGTGGCGGAGGCGACTGGAGCTGCGCTGCGAGCCCGTCGCCGCCGGCGGCGGCGGTGCACCGCACGCTGCGGAGGCAGGCGCAACGTGGGCCTTCCCCTCGGCGGAACAGCTGGTAGCAGCAGCGGATGAGGCGGCGGGTGGGGGAGCGGGAGTAGCAGCGAATGAATCGAAGGGTATCCCTGTGACAGTGACGGAGGGCCTGCCGCGGGCACTGGAGCTCGCAAGGCGGGGAATGGATAACGCGGAAGGGGACGGGGGTTTAGAGGGCGTGGGCGGAGGCGGGGGCATAGAGGGCGTGGTTGAGACCTGGGGCACGTGGGACACGGCGTGCGGCGCGATGGGAATGGACGCGGGGTTGAGAAGCGCTGGCACCGGCTTGGGCGCGGCGGATATGAGCGCAGACATGGGCATGGGCGCGGGCGCGGGCGCGGACATGGTTATGGGCACGGGGATGGGGATGGACATAGAGGCGGCGGTGGAAATGGAGTTGCGATGCGCCGAGGAGCTACTGAGACGCACCGCCATGGTAGCCGAAGCCGAGGCGCCGGCCATCGCGCCCGAGGGAGAGGCTGACGCGCCCGCCATGGCTCCGCGCGAGGCCGAGGTAACGGCCATGGCGGGAGAGGTCGAGGCGCGAACGGATAGCACGCAGGATAGCGGCATGGCAGACCCGCCGTCGCACCCTCTCGCCCTCGCTGCAGCGCAAGCACCGCCCGTGTCTGGCGGTGACGCACCCTCTCCTGGTGCTGCCCCAGAAATCGCGCGCTTATCCCGCCGCAACACGTGGTCCGCAGCGCCGTTCCCGTCGTCGGCGGACGCGGCGCTGATGCAGGCGATGGAGCTGGATCGCCTGGAGCACGACGCCGCCATGGCGCGCCTCACCGCCATGGCCGCATCTCACAGCGCCAATCCCGCTCTGCCTCCCGCCCCGCCGCTTGCTTCCACCCTCCTTTCCCCAACCGCCCCCCGTACCCGCCTTTCCGCGGCACCCACTTCCGCTGTGCGCGCTGCTGACGCCATTATGACAGCTGCGCCCGCCGCCGCCATGCCCGCCGCCATGGCCGACGGCGCTATGGATGCTCCGTTCCTGCCCGCCCTCGACTTCCCCTCGCGCCCCAAGCGCGCCAAGCCGCTCCACCCGCCCGTGCTGCCCGCAGATAGCGCTCCCCCCGCCAGCCCAGCAGCCGTCTCATTGGCTGAGGCCTTCCGCATGGAGGCGCTCCGAGCAGGCTGGGGGGAGAAAGACGGGGAGGGGGAGGGGGAGATGCGGGATGGAGAGATGCAGGAGAGTGGCGGGCAGGGCGTCGAGACATGGCAGGGTGGTGAAGGAGGAGAGCCAGCAGGGGGAGAAAGCACGGCATGTGGGGCCTCCAGCTGTCACACGAGCAAGCAGGGGGGCGTGTGTGAAGGGGACGGGGAAGCAGTGGACACGGAATTGCCCGGAAGCTTGGAGGGCCAAGCGGACGGGGATGGCGGGGCGGAAGAGCGGGGGAGGGAGGCGGTGATGGAGGGACCCAGCAGCAGCGGAGCAGCGGGGCTGTGGAACCCAGCGAGGGCGGCTGGGGGGAACACTGCCAGTGGCGGGGGCGGAAAGCCAGCCCTGGTGACAGCAGCAGCAGGAGCAGCGTGTGCAGGGCGCGGTGGAGGAGCGATCTTTGACCCCTGGGCGCCCACCCGCACCACCACACTCACTGTCGCCCACCTGCCAGGCATTGCCCCAGCTGTGCAGGAGCTGCTGGCACGGCGGTTTGCAACGAATCAAGAGCGCTCCGCCCCGCCTGCTGTTGCGCCCGAGGTGCAGCAGCTGTTTGCGCGCCGCCACACCGTGTCCGGCACCCCCTCAGTGCGCGACTTGAGCTTGCAGCCCAGCCTGCCCGGCCCCTTGCACCCGCTCCCCTTCACCCTCCCCACCATCCACTCTCTTGAAGACCCTCTCCCACTCGTCCCTGGCTCCCTCGCCTCCTTAACCACGACTGCACCTGCAGCCGCTGCAGCAGCTGCTGCTGCTGCGCCGTCTGCTCGCACTCTCTTTCCCTCGGTGCACCCCTTCAGCAGCACCACCCTGGGAGGGCACCACGTGCCTTCCCTGCCCACCACTGTGCCAGCGCCCTTCCCATCGCCTGCCACCTCATCACCTGCCATCCCGTTCCGCTTCCTCACGCCTCCCCTGACGCCCTCGTCACCTCCCCTCACCGTCACACCCAGAGGAGCCATCAGCGCCGGTGCTGCCAGCAGCAGCAGCAGCGGCAGTGCAGGAGCAGCAGGGCCCTTTGCCCGGTCAAGAGGGCTCAGGGGGTCAACAGGGTCAAAGGGGTCAACGGGGTCAAAGGGGTTGACAGACCCTTTCACTTTCCCCCGGCCCTCTGCAGCGCCCCAAAGTGAGGCCGCACGGGGCAGCATGCTTCATGCCGGCTCCAAGCGAAGCCTTTCCTCCTCCACCCTCCCCTCCATCACTCTCCCAACCATCCCTCCCTTTTCATCATCGATCGCGGTCCATCAACAAACCTTCCTGCCCTTGTCCGCGCCGCCGCCTCCCTTCGCCGCGACGTCCTCCCTCCTCCCCTTCCTGCCTGACGCCTCCACCACGGACACCCTGCGCTGCCTGGGGTGTGGAATCGAACTAGACCAGGAAAATGCAAGGGAGGCTCTGGCTTTACCCGATGGGGTGGGGCCGCCCTTGCCTCGCGGCTCGGAAATGCTAGCGGGGCGCATTCCACGTGTGCACGGGTGCAATGAGTGCCTGCCGTTGCTCGTGCCCAGTTATTTCAAGAGACGGGCAGCTGTGAAGAAGCACACTCCTAACAAGTCCACGTGAATTGGAATGTGAAGATAGTATTCTCAATTGTTTTGTTGTAAGAGCTGGCCAAAGAGGTGTACTTTGCCTTAATTATATCTTGAAACTTCATGTGAACATTTTCACGATGTAGAGCCACTCTGCCACGCACAGCTTCGCGCTTCACCGCATTCATGAAACGCCCTCGGAACCAGGGCCTATGTTTGGTTTTTGGCTCTGACTATTAGCAGTGTAGCATTTTTGAAAACCCTTATGATCAGTGTGTAATTTTTCGTTACACTGATACATAAGTGTAACATTGATTTTCAAAAAAATTACCCCAGAGCATCAGTGTAGAATTTTTGTGTACACTTATCGCAAATTTAGATTACTAATCGTTATAAAAATCGGGAAACAATATTCTACTTATACAGCAGACAATCACATGAATGAACGCTCATCCTCGCTACCATCAGACGACTCCTCTCTTTCCTTTCCTTTTCCATAGCACGACTTGTGGGGGGCAGGTGTTTTTGCGGGTCTTCTTTTTTTTTGCTTCCGCCAGATATCCACCACCTCGGGCCATTTGTACTCATAGCTCAACATGTTCAGGGTCATCAGTTCGGATAGCCGGGCGTCACCAAGCGACGTTCGCAACCAGCTTTTGATCACGTTTTGGCGGCTGAATCCGCGCTCGCACTCCACGGTACTTAGCGGAATTACTGCCAGCGCCTGCCACATGGACGTCAGGTTGGGAAAACTGCGCGGCCAATCCTTGGTCCTCAGCATTTTGTTAAGTCCCTGGTAGAAGTCATCGTCCTGGTAGTGGCGAGACATGACGTGGCAGAAGCTGGCCAGCTCGAGCTCTGCCGCTCGGTGGTTGAAGCCTGCCACGTGTGTTGGAGGGACATTATTTTGTGAGGTGAAAGGTCGAAACAAAACAAAACAAAACAAAACAAAACAAAAAACGTGTGGATAATTACCTGGCAGCCGGTTGTTGAAGAGCCGCGCGTTGGCATCCAGCCAACTCAGCACCCGACGATCCCGCTTGTCTGTCGCTTCTGGCCACGTTTCAACTTTGTAAAGCTTGCTGCCATCCATTTGCTTCAAGCTCCACATTCGAGTGTGCATGTTTGTCGCCACCTCCAATGCGAACGCTTTGCACAACTTGATGCAGTCGGCCATCGAGCCGCCGTATTGGTGTCCTGCTATTGGTGCCTCGCTCAGCACGATCTGATGTGAAGATGGCTCACCATCCGCATCCGTGCCGTCCACGCGGATAGTTCGCCTGCCGCTGCCAAGGCGTGCGATGAATGGCGACAGCAGCTTGCTGACCCCCCCTCCGAAAATGTCCACGTATTCCACGTATCGAAGTCTGATGACTCCAATCGTGCGATCCACCTCTTGGTGCACGAGCGTGATGTCAACCTGAACCAGAGACGGGCACATGAACAACATGTAAAAATGTTAGTGTATAATTAAATGACACGACTAGAAGAAAAACATGCACAGTGAATCAACACTTACTTTTTTGCGCTGGAAAAATTTGTTGAGTGCGTTTATCTCTGCCAGCAGATCCGCCAAGAAGTAGACGCAGAAGTGAAACTTGAGGGTCTGCACAGTTACCGCCATGCTGTGGTTGTACTCGATGAACATCACGATCGCCGCCCCTAGAATTCTGCACAGACGGGCCACTGCATCCCCGCGCGATAGCCAACGCACGTCGAATAGCCCCTGGTGCTCCAAATTCGTTTGATGTATTTCGAGCTGGAGCTCCTTGAAGCGCTCAAGCCACACCGAAGACCGCATGACGACTTCGCCAAGCCCACGGATGGCGTCATCGACGATGTCAAGGTCCGGAAACTTGCTCGCGGCTTCTTTAACCGCGAGCACTTCTCTGCATACAACATTAGAAAAATTTAAGGCCGTGGAAGTTACTCATTTATACGAGGCGATTGTACGGAAACAACAAACCTACCTGTGCGCTATGCAATGAGTTCCGACCAGATGTGGGACGCGCTGACGGAGACGAACAACAAGCCCGGATTGGCTGCCAATCATCACCCCCGCGCCGTCGGTGCTAACTGCGACAATCTGCTGCAGATCAATCCCGATGTTGTCGAGGTGGCTCAGCAAAACCGCGAAGAGGGAACCCGCGTCGCATTTGTGTATGGTGAGTAGAGCGAGAAATTCCGTCACCACTGCTCCCTCCTTCATGAAGGTTGCAAACACCACGAGGTGTTTGCCGCGCGACCGGTCTGTGCTCTCGTCGCAGCTGATGCCGATCCACGGTGATGCATGGATGTACATAAGCTGTTGCTGTTGCTGATACGTGCACATAGCCTTCACCATCTCCGTGAAGCCGTATCTGCATGGTGCGCAAAAGGGATGGTGTTAATCCTTCCGGAAGCTATACACCAATACGGCAACAAATTATTAAATTCCACTCACTGCGTGATATATACAACGTAGGTCTGCTGAGGAATGTCTGAAACACCTTCATTCGCGAGGAAGTCGACGAGCCTCGGGAACATTGCGATCGGAGCGTCCTCGTCGCACACAAACTGGATGCTGCGCATAAGTCTCGTCACTCGCGCACCCTCGGGGTCAGCCCTCTCGTAGTCGTTGATTTTCTTCTGCGCCGCCATCTTGTCCAGAAGACCCTTCTGGCGATCAATGCAGTCGTGATGGCGGGAGCTCGCTTGGTGTGCCCGCATCGACGCTGGCTGCAGGTCCCGTCCGCCGCTGCCATTCCGCCCGTATCGTGCATTGTCGGGACCGTGTTAGCTGCACACACTGCACCGCAAACAAGGCAGACCATCATCACCCTTGTCAAGCAACAACCAATCAAATTGCGGCAGCCATTTGGTGATGTAATTCCTCTGTGCTTCGAGGAACTTTGCTTCCGCGCGTTCGGCCGGAGTCTGCTTCAGCGGTGACGGAGATGGCGTCACAACAGGAGGTGGCGGAGGAGCAGGTTTCACGAAAGGCGAGCCGCCGCCGTAACCAAGAGTAGACTGCGTGTACCGGCGTTTTTTCAGCGACACGGAGTTAGAAGACTCCGGGACTTCAGATATCATTTCCGTCGAGGCGATGAAGTCGTGCACGACGGGTTCCGCCTCATCGCGTTCCAGACGCTGCCATCCACCGTCCTCACCCTCAGCTTGAGGCTGGTACGGTGGTGATATTTGGGCCGCTTTGCGCACAGGGTACATCCATCCCTCACTTTCATCAGAACGCTCGGGCAAAGGACGAGGTGCAGGTTCTGAGACTGGGCCTCGTAAGAAATCAAGGCCCGTTCTTGGACCGTGGCTACAATGGGGGTCGCCATCGGCATCGTCAGCGTCATCGTCGCTCGGCGCTGCCATGGCAACGGGGTGGAGAACGTGTGGATGTTAGACAGAGTGGCAAAAAAAAAACCGTGGTTTGTGGAGTTGGCTGGAGGAATGGCCGAGTGTTGCGAAACTGCTTGACCCACTCTGCTGAGCTTGCTGAACCAACACGGCACAGCAGTAGGTCGCTTCGTTGGGTGACGCGGCTTGCATCTGTGCCACCGACAGTATGAATGTGGTCAGGGATTTGACTAAGTGCAGGCAACATCTCGAAACATAACAAACTGACCAATTACACAGATGACTGCTGCCAACGCATATTCTGCGGGGAAGGCCGCTTCGGTACTTGCGTGATTGACGGAAATCACGCTCGTGCAAAATTTCGGGAATGAAAAGGGGGGGGGGGGGGGGGGGTGCCCTGTACGCCCTTAAGGGTAATCTTCGTTTTCAAAAAAATTACCCCACACCATCAGTGTGGCCTAAATCGTTTCACTGTCAAATCAGTGTAACACTAAGTTTCAAAAAAATTACCCAAACACATCAGTGTAGGCCCTAAAATTCACCCTTCTCATCAGTATAGCAGTGTGATTTACACTGATAAAATAGGCCTCAGAACAGAACATTTTCCAGCGCTTCACATATGCTCTTGCCGCCTTCATTGTTGAACTGACACTCTCCGTTCGGTGGAACTCGACCAAGCGATTTTGACGTTCCTTGGGATCATCGGCACGGATTCGTTCTTCCGGAGCGGCTGCTCGCTTTCCACGCAACTCAGCAGTCTATCCCGCTTCTTCCGCATGCCTGCTCCGATAGGCTGAAATTTCTCGAAAGTTCCGCGGGTGTTGGTTTGCTGTCATCTCCTGCGGGCTTTAAGAGCGCGATCTGCACGAGAAATATCACCGTCTCGTCGCCTTTTGTTCGAAATGCCTGGCAATGCGGCCGCGGAGGAACTGGAGCATGGTCGCGGGGAACCTTCCCCGCACAAGCGGAAGCGGGGAGGTGCGAAGGAGGTGGATGTTGACTGCAGCGGACTGGCGAGTATAGACTCAGGGAATGCCGAGGGCGAGAGCGTTGCGAGCTTTTTTGTTAGTAGCGCCAGGCAGATCTGGTATCCGACACAGTGCGCGACGAAACGGATGCGAGGCGCGGCGGAATCACGCACGATGATGGCGGAGGGCGGGGCAGAGGGAGGGGCGCAGAGGGGGCAAGGGGACGCGGGGAAAGAAGGGCATGGATGCGAGGCGCAAGGAAAGGAGGCAGAGGCAGCGACGGAAAGGCAGGCGAGGGGGGGATTGGCGGAGAGCGAGGAAAGTGCGCGAGGGGATGGTGGCGCGCGGGATGGCTGTGGCGCGCGTGATACATTCGGGGGAGGCGGAGAACTCAAGAGGGCGAGGGAGGAGGTGAAGCAAGAGATGGTGGAGGAGGCGATGCAACGCGGCGGGTGTGAGGGCGCTCAAGCATTTGTGCGCATACCCCCGTGCCTTTATGCGCCACCACCGTTTCATCCTGCGCCCTGTCAGGCCCCACCGCACCTCCGTGACTCTCCGCCCGTCCATGCCTCTCCGCCCGTCCATGCGTCTCCGCCCGTCCATGCCTCTCCGCCCGTCCATGCCTCTCCGCCCGTCCAGGTCTCCCCGCCCGTCCATGTCTCCCCGCCCGTCCATGTCTCCCCGCCCGTCCATGTCTCCCCGCCCGTCCATGGCAGCGTGCGCAGGTCCGTCACAGCTGGTCTCTGTGAGTCGCTGCTTCCAGCACCGCCCATGGCACCAGCGCCACTCGCGCCATTAGCAGCGTCAGCAGCTGCTGGCCCCCACACTGCACCATCAGCAACACCGGCAGCAGCACCATCAGCAGCAGCAACCATAGCACCAGCGCCAGCAACAGCACCAGCACCAGTTGAAGCACCATTGGCAGCAGCGCCACCATCAGCAGCTTCAGCAATAGCAACAGCAGAAGTATTAACATCAGCACCACCAGCGACAGGAGCAGCACCATCAGCAGGAGCAGCAACAGCACCGGCAGCAGCAGAAGCACCAGCAGCAGCAGAAGCACCAGCAGCAGCAACAGCACCAGCAGCAGCAACAGCACCAGCAGCAGCAACAGCACCAGTAGCAGCAACAGCACCAGCAGCAGCAGAAGCACCAGCAGCAGCAACAGCACCGGCAGCAGCAGAAGCACCAGCAGCAGCAGAAGCACGAGCAGCAGCAACAGCACCAGCAGCAGCAACAGCACCAGCAGCAGCAGAAGCACCAGCAGCAGCAACAGCACCAGTAGCAGCAACAGCACCAGCAGCAGCAGAAGCACCAGCAGCAGCAACAGCACCAGCAGCAGCAGAAGCACCAGCAGCAGCAACAGCACCAGCAGCAGCAGAAGCACCAGCAGCAGCAACAGCACCAGTAGCAGCAACAGCACCAGCAGCAGCAGAAGCACCAGCAGCAGCAACAGCACCAGCAGCAGCAACAGCACCAGCAGCAGCAGAAGCACCAGCAGCAGCAACAGCACCAGTAGCAGCAACAGCACCAGCAGCAGCAGAAGCACCAGCAGCAGCAACAGCACCAGCAGCAGCAACAGCACCAGCAGCAGCAGAAGCACCAGCAGCAGCAACAGCACCAGTAGCAGCAACAGCACCAGCAGCAGCAGAAGCACCAGCAGCAGCAACAGCACCAGCAGCAGCAACAGCACCAGCAGCAGCAGAAGCACCAGCAGCAGCAACAGCACCAGTAGCAGCAACAGCACCGGCAGCAGCAGAAGCACCAGCAGCAGCAACAGCACCAGCAGCAGCAACAGCACCAGCAGCAGCAGAAGCACCAGCAGCAGCAACAGCACCAGCAGCAGCAACAGCACCAGCAGCAGCAGAAGCACCAGCAGCAGCAACAGCACCAGTAGCAGCAACAGCACCAGCAGCAGCAGAAGCACCAGCAGCAGCAACAGCACCAGCAGCAGCAGAAGCACCAGCAGCAGCAACAGCACCAGCAGCAGCAGAAGCACCAGCAGCAGCAACAGCACCAGTAGCAGCAAGAGCACCAGCAGCAGCAGAAGCACCAGCAGCAGCAACAGCACCAGCAGCAGCAGAAGCACCAGCAGCAGCACCAGCAGCAGCAGAAGCACCAGCAGCAGCAACAGCAACAGCAGAAACGTCAACATCAGCACCACCAGGAAGAGCAACAGCAACAGCAGAAGGACCAGCATCATCACCAGCAACGGCAGCAGCAACAGCACCAGCCGAAACATCATTAATAGCCGCACCACCAGCAACAGCACCAGCACCCGCACCCGCACCGGCACCAGATGATAAGGCAAGCAGCGGTGAGAGGCGTGAGGAAGCGAGGTGCAGAGGAGCAGAGGAGGCAGGGGCGGGGAGCGAGCAGGGCGGTGACATGGGGCGAGGGGATGAGGGGCTGGGAAGCGCGCGACCAGGGTCACCTGGGGATGGCAGCCATGGCATGGCACAGGGGCAGAGGCGAGGAGGGAGCGAGGCAAGGGGCAGTGGCGAGTGCGAGGGAGGGAAAGCTCGAGGGTGGTTGGCACAAATGCTGCAGGGAGGGGAGAATGAGGGTGGGCATGAGGGGGAGAAGGTGATATGGGGGGAGCAAACGTCAGGAGAGCAGGTATCAGGTGCGAAGGCATGTGAGGAAATGCTGCAGCGAGGCAGTGAGAGATGGGAGGAGGGCAGGCAGGAGATGAGGCAGGGGAGCAGCGCCAGTGGTGGTGGTGGGGGATGGGGAGCAGATGGGGTAATGAGCACTCCGCCTCCTCACAACCACATGCCGTGCTCACCTGACGGCCCTGTGCCGTGCCCACCTGGGAATCCCATGGCATGCCCTGCTCACGACCCTGTGCCAAGCGCAGAAGTGACAGTACCGTGCACTGACAAGGCCTCAACACTGCCCATGACACCTGAGAGCCGACCTGAGAGCCGCCGTGAGAGCTGCCCTGAGCATTTCTCTGAGCGTCGCTCTGAAGATGGCTCTGCTGTGCCTCGGGAACAGCAGGCTGAACGTGGCAGCAATACCCCTGGCTGCCCCCAACTGGGACTGGTTGCAGAGGCAGAGAGACCAGGCAGTGACCCGTCTCCCTTTCATGCTGCCACTGCTCATGCGAATCATGCAGGTGCTGCTGCTGATGCAGACCCGCCCGCGCCGTCCCCCACCAGCACTCCACCGCCCCGTCAGCAGGAGGGTCCACGTCAGCAACAGCCTAGTTGCGACGCATCAGCACAAGCAGATCCAGGCAATGCCACGGTCACAACAGAGGAAGCAAGGAATGAAGAGGTTGCTGCTGTTCCATACCATGTGCTTGCCGCTCGTGTGTTTGCGGAGTTGCGGGGCTTGTTGCTCGATACCCACGTGGCTCATGAGGACTTGGAAGCAGTTGTGAATGAGGCGGTGATGACGTGGCATCCTGACGTGCAGGCAATGGCGCAAGAGAACGCGTGGGATGCGGCGAAGGGGACAGTTGCAAGGGTGGAAGGGAAGATTGGCACTTCAATTTTGGCTTTGCGGAAGAAGCTAAAGGTATCCATTGAGGATTTGGATAAAAGGCTTGAAAAAGAGGAGGAAGAAGAAAGAAACGGCTAGGGAATTCGAGGTGGAATGTTTTATGATTTTTGGAAGTAGGTAAGCAAGTTCTGTACCTAACCCAACCATCTATTTTCGCAACTTAAGACTTCACCACTGTCTCGGATCACTGCCTTGCGAGTTCTTCCTTCACATATTTTTTTTCGTCTTCACTCTTCAAGTGATTCGTGCTCCCGCATCGTCATTTCTGCTCGATTCCGCTCGTCAGTATCATCCGCATTCGTACACTGCCACTAAATATTAGTCTCTCGCGTAGTCTATCAAGGCTCTTAAAGCCGTGTTGATCGCCATGGAGGAGGAGGCGATAGAGCGAGCCGTGCTGGCGTACCTGCGTCGCAAGGGCTACAAGAATGCTGAGCTGGCGTTTAAAGACGACTCTAAGACGCAATCGCTCGATGCGCTCGTTACGGTTGGCGGGAAGGCGGCAGCTGCTGAGCTGGACAAGAATTTAGCCAATCAGATAATGCTCTACAGCAGGTGGGAAGCCACAGCGGACCCTAACCCTAACCGCGACATTTTTCGAACCGTTGTTTTCGTTAATGTCGATAACTGTGTAGTGTCGCCCATACAGTATCTCCAATGTCATGGATTTGTCTGGTTGCAGAAGCGCCACGTGTCTCTCTCGGGATTGTCTCTTCCAGGTCTGAGAAAGCGCCAGCATGCTATGTGGATGGCTACCGGAAGCTTCGTGCGTGGGTGCATTCCTCCCTAGACCTCTACAAGGTAATTCCCGACAGACCCCTCGCCTCGCGTCGCATCGCGTCGCGTCGCCGTGTCGCATCCACTCCTCCGGGAAATACTTCTTTCAATCCCCCTCCCATTCCCTCATTCGCCCCTCCTCATCTGAGGCTTCCCTAATATCTCTCCCCCGCCCTCTCCCGTCCTTCCAGAACGAGTTGCTGCGCGTGCTGTACCCGGTCTTTGTGCACGCCCCTTTAGCGCTCCCCAATATCATTCACTCTATCCTTTCCCCCCCACGATCCCATTCCCCCCAGAACGAGCTACTGCGAGTGCTGTATCCGGTGTTCGTGCACGCCCCTTTGGGGCTCCCTAATATCCTTCCACTCCATCTTCCCCCCCTCCCCCTCCTCCCGCGCGTCAGAACGAGCTACTGCGAGTGCTCTATCCGGTGTTCGTGCACGCCTTCCTCGAGCTCGTCGCGCAGGACCACCCCGACGCGGCGCGCGCGCTCATGGAGGCGCACGGCGCGGACCACGCGCGCCTGCACGCCAGTGACCTCGCGCAGCTCGCGGGCATCACCGCCGCGCAGCACGCGCAGGAGAGCCCCCTCGCGCGCGCCTTCCGCGAGAACAAAGCCGTCATCCGCATGTGCCAGGTAGGCCCCCCCTGGCCAAGCGCATGTGTCGTGTCTGCTCTCTCCTCGTTCCGTGGTTATCCAGCTCACTTGCTCCACCTTGCTGTGCTCCACCTTGCTGTGCTCGCACCTCTCTCTTCACACGCCCTCCCATACCGCATGCCATGCTCCTGCGACCCCACCCCACCCCACCCCACCCCACCCCACGCCACCCCACCCCACCCCACGCCACGGCACGCCATGACATGACACGACACGACACGGAGGGCAGTACTCATTCGACCTGCTGTTGCAGTTCCTGCACGCAGCGGACCTCATGGCCATCCTCGCGCTTGTCAACTGCCACATCCACATCATTGGTGGGTCGCTGTGTCGCACGCACTCGCATCAACACCAATTCTCTCTAGCTTGCATCCATGGGCGCTCGCTTCTTCCCAGTGCAGCTCCGCACCATTGATGTTCCACGCGCGCAATTGCTGCACCCAAGCACGCAATTGCTGCACCCAAGCACGCAATTGCTGCACCCAAGCTCGCAATTGCTGCACCCAAGCACGCAATTGCTGCACCCAAGCACGCAATTGCTGCACCCAAGCACGCAATTGCTGCACCCAAGCACGCAATTGCTGCACCCAAGCACGCACCACCCCCTTCCCAACCATTCTCCCTCTCCAGCTCCCGTGCCCTTTTCCTCCTCCTCCTCCTCCTCCTCCTCCTCCTCCTCCTCCTCCTCCTCCTCCTCCTCCTCCTCCTCCTCCTCCTCCTCCTCCTCCTCCTCCTCCTCCTCTTCACACCCCCCCACTCCCTTCAAACTCTCCCTCTCCAGCTCCTGTGCCCTTTTCCTCCTCCTCCTCTTCTTCTTCACCCCCTTCCCTCTCTTCAAACTCTCCCTCTCTCCGCCCCCATCCGCCCGCGCCCCCGCCACAGTGCATGCGGGGCGGCCAGCAGCGCAGGAGGAGGAGGAGGACGAGGCGACGGGCATGGTATCAAGCGCAGGAGCGGACGGAGGGGGCGCGGGGGGCGGCATGCTGGCGGGGGTGGTGACAGGGGCGACACACGAGGCGATGAAGCGCATGGGGCAGCGCGAGGTGCTGTGGGGCGCGCTGGAGGATGGTGTGGAGCACCGGTTGGAGCAGGAGAGGGAGCGGGAGGGTGAGAAGGAGGAGGGCGACGAGGGCGAAGGGGACGACGGCAAGGTGAGATGCGTGTGGGTGGTGTTAGCAACGGTTGGCCCAGCTTGAAACGCTCCTTGTGATTCCATCCCTCCATTTCTGACCGCACGATCTCTCCTCCGCGACCTCCTTGCCCGCTGCCTCCTTTCCCTCTGCCTCCTTGCCCTCTGCCTCCTTGCCCTCTGCCTCCCTGCGTGCTGCCCCTCTTCCCTCAGAAGCGGGCAGCAGATGGCAAGGCAGCAGCAGGGGCGCCGGGCAAGAAGGGCAAGAAGGACAAGGCGGGGGAGAAGGACGCGCTCAAAGGGGGCGCGGGGGGTGGAGCAGGAGGGGCAGCGGGGGCAGGGGGGGGTGCTGGAGGAAAGGGGGGGAAGGCGGGCGAGGGCAAGGGGGCCGGCGGGGCTGCTGCAATGACTGGCACACGCGTGGCGTCGCACCTGCCTCTCCCTAAAATGTGCGCTCTCCCTCCCTCTGCTCTGCCCCCCGCTGATCTCCCTTCTGCTGCTCTGCCTGCTGTCATCTATCCTTGCCTGGCCACGTCCCGCTGCTGCCTTCCTGTGGTTCAAGCTGATTCATGGCACAGCAGTTTCTTCAAACATTGCTACCCCTTTCGTTCATCTTCCTTCTTTTCCTGCCTCTCGCCTCCCTGCCTCTGGCCTTTCTGCCTCCTCCTGCCTCTCTGCCTCTTGACTCTCTGCCACTCGACCTGCCTCCGCTCTGCTGCTGCCTGTGACCATGCAAGGCAGGAGGGAGGAGGCGGAGAAGCAGGTGTTTGACGACTTGAGGCGGCGAGTGGCACTGGGAGCGCAGGCGCTGCCGTCTGTGTGCTGCTACACGCTGCTGCATGCACACTCCAGGTGCGCTCTGCTCTGCTCTACTCTGCTGTGCTGGCCTGTTATGCGCTGCTGCTGCTGCTGCTGCTGCTGCTGCTGCTGCTGCTGCTGCTGCTGCTGCTGCTACTGCTGCTGCGAGTGCATTCTGGGAACCACCGAGTTCCGCTGCCGCACTGCCTCTGCACTGCACAGCTGCCACCTGTGTACTTCTGAGGCGCCTTAAAAGTAGGCTGCCACCTGTCTTCCGTTGCTTCTCTCACTCCTCCCTCTCTCCTCGCATCCCACACACCCTCCAATTCGTCCTGCATGCGCCCCCTCTATCTCTCCTCCCCGCACCAGCATGACTTCAGTGTCCGTTGCTCCTGACGGTGCGTTGCTGGCTGCAGGCTTCAATGACTCGTCAGTCAAGGTGACAGCCGTGCATCCACATTCATCTACTCAAACGCCAAGTTTAACCAATACGCGCACAGCAGATTCAATCCAGTTGTGCGTAGTAGTGACACTGATCTATGATGGCCAGGCATGGCAGCATGTATGTTAGCGTCGTCTGCTGCGCGTCCCCACTATGACACACTCTCTCACCACTCTCTTCTCCCCGCCTCCTCTTCCCTTCTCTTCCTCGCTCTCCCCCTCTCGTCCCTTCATTTCCCCTCCGTCGCTCCTCCCCCACCACACAGGTGTGGGACATGCGATCCATTGGCTCCTCCCCCCTCCCACAAGGTATGCCTTTCCACTGCCTCTTCTCGACTCTCGTTCCACATTTCACATTTTCCATCTGCCATGTCTCTGTCCTCTCGCGTCCCCTTCGCCATTCCTCACCTCTCACATCACCTCTCACATCACCTCTCACATCACCTCTCACATCACCTCTCACATCACCTCTCACATCACCTCTGCATCTTCCTCTGCATCATCAACCCTCATGTATCGCACTCCCCCCTTTTCTCCCCTTTCTCTCTCTCCCCTCTCTTCACCCTCCTCCCCCAGACGCCCTATCGCTCGACACCTCAGCAGCAGCCGAAGCCCCAGCCATACAAAATACCCCACGTGGACACCCCACAACCACCACCACCACCTCCACCCCCACCACCCCCAGCACCACCAGCAAACGTTACATAGCCCTGAGGGGCCACAGCGGCGCCGTGCACGCAACCTCCTTCAGCCCCTCAGACGACCGCTTCCTGCTCTCCGCCTCTTCTGACGCCTCAGTGCGCCTGTGGCACCTGGGGCTGGGGGCGTGCCTGGTGGCGTACCGCGCGCACTGCTACCCCGTGTGGGACGTGCAGCACTCGCCTGTGGGGCACTACTTTGCCACGGCGTCGTATGACCGCACGGCGCGCGTGTGGAGCATGGAGCGATCCTACCCGCTGCGCATCATGGCGGGCCACCTCTCCGACGTGCATGTCAGTCCCTTCCTTTCTAAGGTTGTTTTTCTCTTGTGGTTTGGTGGAAGATTTAATCTGTCATCCTTGTGCTGAAAGCTTCCTCCCCTGGGACCGCACGGCACGCGTGTGGAGCATGGAGCGCTCGTACCCGCTGCGCATCATGGCTGGTCATCTCTCCGACATGCATGTCAGTGGCTCCTTCTTTCGCACATCCCTGATGCGCGCTGCCACGCCACCTGCAAATACGTTCTCACCGGGTTCACTGACAACCCAAGCCCTCCACCCAGCCTCTCTTCCTCACACCTCTCTCTTCCTCTCTTCCCACCCCCTCCCCCGCTCTTCGCAGGCGGTGCGGTGGCACGCCAACTGCAACTACATCGCCACGTGCTCCAGCGACAAGACGCTGCGCCTGTGGGACGTGCAGACCGGCGAGTGCTGCCGAGTCTTTGCCGCCCACCGCTCGCCCGTGTACGCACTCGCCACGTCCCCGGACGGCCGCTTTCTAGCCTCGGGGGATGAGGGAGGTGCCGTGCTGCTGTGGGACCTGGGCACAGGCCGCTGCATCGCCCCCCTGCTGGGCCACACCGGCTGTGTGTGGACGCTCGCTTTCAGGTGGGTGTGATGTGGTGCAGTGCGGTGCGTGCTGTATTCTCCCCTCTCTGTGCGCCCTAGCACAATCTTCCTGGCGTCGGGCGATGAGACCGGCACTGTGCTGCTGTGGGACCTGGGCACGGGACGATGCATTGCACCTCTTCTGGGCCACACTGGCTGTGTGTGGACGCTCGCCTTCAGGTGGGTGCAGTGTGGTTCAGTGCAGTGTGGTTCAGTGCTCCCATGCTGTATGTGCTGTAGCAATGTCGTTTCCGCTTCACAAGTCGAGATTCTGCCTGCTGTGACCCTCACAAGCTGCCAGCTCAAACCAGCACCAGCTACCTGTTCGTTATTATCACCAACTCAACCTCCACCCTGCCTCCCATGCATCTCCTCCCCCGTGCGCCATGCTGCCTGTGGGGCGAGCAGTGGCGAGTCAGCAGTGCTGGCATCGGGGGCAGCGGACGACACAGTGAGGCTGCTGCTTCAATCTCCCCCCCACCTCCCTCCCATGCATCCCCCCCACCTCCCTCCCATGCATCCCCCCCACCTCCCTCCCATGCATCTCTCCCCTCTCGTGCACCCTCCTGGCCTTGCGGAGCAGTGGCGAGTCAGCAGTGCTGGCATCGGGGGCAGCGGACGACACAGTGAGGCTGTGGGATGTAGCTGCTGCCAGCAAGCTCGCTCCCAACGAGGCCAAGTGAGTGGCAATTGTTCAGCTGCCATGTGAGTGGCAGGGATGGGATGTCAGTGGGGGGGTGGGGCCATGCCATGCGACCATGAGTTTTCAGCTGCATGTGAGTGCCAATTCTTCAGGAAGCCAAACTGGTCTAATTTGAGTCTGTTTTTGCGTCGACACAGGAGCGAGTACTGATGCTCTACTTGTCTCCATCACTGCCTACCCGACCCTGTCTGCCGTTGTCCCTCTCTGCTGTATTCCCCCTCTGAGGGCCTCCACATTTGTTCAACCGCTCTGTCTTGCCTTTCCCCTTCCTCCGGGGGCTTCCTCTCCTGTGTGTCGCCTTCCTCCCTTCCCCCCGCGCCTGTCCATGCATGGGCATCAGAACATCGGTGGGGCGGCGATTGCGCCTTCTCAAGACCTTCCCCACCAAGTCAACACCCATCTCCGCCCTGCAGGTAGTATCCATCCCCCACTCACTGCCCGTATCCGCTCTGCGGGCGTCCATCCCCCACTCATGGCCCATCGCTCCTTGAGCCACCTCAAACTGGGGTTTGCCTCTGTCTGCCTCCAGTCATTTGCACAACACCTGTGTCATGCCCGTGTTTACAAGTGTCTAGTCCCCCTTAGCAACTCCCCTGGCAATCCCCCAAGGCCCCCTCACAATCCTCCTTACATTTGCCTAGTGCATCTGTCCAACTCGCCCTGCAATTCCCCATCTGCCCCCCCTCGACTTCTTCCTCCCCTTCCTCGCTTCCTCCACACCCCTCTCGGCAGTTCACGCGGCGCAACCTGCTTGTGGCAGCTGGGGCTTTCCAACACTCCGACCCCACACCTTGAAGCTGCATGTCACACGTCACCGCTTACGTGCCACATGTCATGTCAGCTTGGGTGCCCAGGGCAAGGCATTGCATGCAAATTTTGCATGCTTAGGTGTTGAATGCATCATCACCATTTGTAACACTACACACCACAGTTGCATTCAATAGCTAGCATTGTCACTAGAGTTACAGTAAGAGCGTGTTCCTACGGCCTCATATCAGGAAACCTCGTATCAAGATGCTGTTTTTGCCTGGTAAAACTAGGTTATCTTGATACGAGGATAGGAACAAGCACTAATGGCTGCCGGGCCGTGATTCACAAAAATTTGATGGACTAGTGCAACTACCAGCAAGCACAGAATGGTCGCCACAAGGAGACTCAAATCACAATCGAGATCCTACCGTACAATTACGGTAGCGAGATCACAAGAGCGGCTAATAGTGGGTATCTGGTATTCAACAGTATAGACAGCACACACACTGACGCCATTATTGACACGCATACGTGCTGCCTTAGCTAAGCACGAATGTACACCATGACTCCTAACGGGCCAGGAAGAAAAGAACGAAAAAAAAAAAAAATCAAAATATACGATACGGACTTCTCAGCTGGCCCACGGGTTCGACATCACCACTCCCCGGTGCGAGCCTGCTACTGCATGCGGCTGGGCGCCGCCAATCCCGCCGCCTTGCGCCACCATGGCTGCGCGCGCCTGCATCAACCCCGCGGGGTGCATCGCCTGCTCCACTCCTCCCCACGCCTCCACTCCCCCCCATCCGTCCCCCCCATCCACATCCATCGAGCAGTCGTTAATAGCTCCTCCCCGCCGCGCGCCTCCCGCCTGCGTCCTCTGAAGCCCCGCGGCAATATCCCCAGAGACCGTCCCCGCCTGCCAAGGGTTCGTGACAAAAACGTTCCGCGGTTGGCGCGATGTTTGCGCAGCGGCTGTCCCCCGGCGCTCCGCGCGGGTGCTGCAGACCTCATCCTCGCTGTCGGATCCCGCGCCCCCCGCGCCGTTCGCGGCGTGCAGCGCTTGGCTGCGCGCATCCACGCTACTCGCGTCGTTGACCGCGTTAAAAGCAGCAGCAGACCGGTCGGATTTGCGCGCCGAGCGGATGCAGTCAAGCGACCGGCGGCGGCGGGAAGGTTCGTTGTGCGGCGCGTAGAGATACGCCCAGTCCGTCGGCCCCAACGCCGCGCTTGCCGCCGCCGCTGACGCTGGTGCTGGAGACGGCGCTGTTGTTTGGTTACGTACAGCCGAAGCAGAATGGTCGAAACCCGCTTCGGGCTGTGGTTGCATGACAGGCTCTCCGCTCGGTCGTCCAAACACATCCCGACCGTTGAAGGCGCTGTTACGGTGCATTGGACGCTCAAGATCGTCGATTTGGAGGGACATGCGGCGCGTGGAGGGGATGGGGGACTCGACCGCGGTGGACATGGGGGAGCGGGAGGGGCACTGGGAGTGCGCGGACGGCGGAGTGGCGGAGACCTCCATTGCGACCATGGCGGAGTGCAGCTCCAGGCGCTGGCGGTGAGATCCGCCGTTCAGCATGCGCTGGAACATTCTCGGAAGCTCTCCTTAGTCCACCGGCTTCGATTTGTCGAAAATGAGCCTCCGATAGCTAGGCTGACTAAAACGACAAGTCGAAGTCTGTTAACAACTAAAAACCGCACGGAATTTGCGCGAGTGTTCTGCTGAGGGATAAGGATAAACGATACCGCCAATTGCGTCCCTCTAACCCCAAGCGAAGCTTGACGGAATGCCCTAAGAAACAGGAGCGTTGAAACAAAAGCCTTGCACAGAAAACTGGGGCTTGAAGGAGATGAGTTGCCAGGAGGAAAGATGAGGATGGAAGTGAAGGCAGAATGGGGAGGGGAGGGGAAGCGCGCGCGCAGTGTGAGATAGTCCGCGCGTGTAACCCAATAGAGCTGAGTTGTGGCGGATCCCCCGCCCACACAGCACTGCGATGTACGCCGCTTCCTTCATTGGTTCCCCTTTTGCCCCCGTGACTATCCAGCAGTCCTCCTTTCTCTCCCCTCCGCAACCACTTCCCAAAAAAACTGCTTCCAGTCTTGTCGGGACTCGGTTTTCCTCGGCTGTGCTGTCCGCCTTCCCCCAAGCATCGCCTAGCAGTTGGTGCGCCACAGTCACTGCTGCGCCCTGCCAAGTGCGGTGGTGAACTCGATCGCAGTCACAATTTGTGGGGTAGAGCCAGCTAGCGCAGGGGGGCTTGAGTGGCAGTACAGGTCAGGTTGGGCAGGTGAAAGAATTGACCTTGAGGGGATGAGATAGGTGAAGGTAACCATTTCTTTACACGGCCTCGCTGCGTAATGAGGTAGTCATATCCACTCCCAAGTTGAGCACATGCGAAGCCCCCTTCTGGGGGGCTGGCGATGGGCTGGGATAGGAGAAAACTCATCCAGGACGTTACAGTTCGCACTGTTACGATATTTGAAATCCCCGACAAGGGAGGCCCCCCACTGACAGTCTGTCCAGGTCTGCGCCACAAAAATGGGCCTCGATCACACCGTACCCACAGTTCCGAAAGATCTTTTCCTGCCCTCTCCACGGGTGGTAGATCGCAGAAAAATAAGTTCCAGCAATTTCTGTTCCGTATCTAAGTTCTTGTGGCCCTCAATGACCGAAATGGGCATTGGAGGTTTGCGTACCCCCGCATGTGTGTTGCATTGCAGCATGTCGCTATCCAGCCCTATACACATGTTCCGCGATAATTCCACACCCTTTATCTTCACGACCTGGGGTACCTACCCTCGAAAGAACCGATTTCGAAGGTAGTTAGCGACGCTCGAAGAATTTTCAAGGTTAATGAAACACAATCTCAATGCGAGGTTACCGCAGGAACAATCTGGCACTGGAATTTTCCCCGCTCACTCGAACTACAAAGTTCGAGTTTGGAAAGGCCTTGACCTGGTGGCTATTTCCTGATAGACCCGCAATGTCAGGGCGTCCGTCTCATCAAACCTTCAACCATGTAGGGTGTCTGAGTAGAATCAAAGTTCAGGGTGTGGAAATATCGGAGAACAGGTGTAGCATGAAAATATTTGAAAGGGGCGAAACAAGGAACACATCACTGTGACATGCCCTACTTGGTTCAACTACGGGCAGCTTGGGATGGGAACCGACTGTCATTGTGTGGTGGTATGGCGTGGGTGGGATGGAATCTCCCGCTGCTACTGCTACTGCTGTAAAAGTCGTTTGTGAAAATCTGGAACGAGGCTCCAATAGAACGTCGAAAAATAGACTGGTTTCTCAAAACTCCATTGGCCGAGTATCCATCCAGCTGTCGGTCATCGAATCCTGCGGCGTTATTACATTCAGCTCGGTGTTTTTCTGCCATGCCATTCGCAATCGCAAGCCCCGTTTCTCCTCACTTGTGTGTCCATGTATGACTTCACTACAAACTGCACTTGACTGATCTTACTGAGTATATTCAGTTGTTGCAAAAAGTTGTCAGCCAGATAAAATGTATTAATGATTTATATTAAGGCTTTAACTATTAAATGTAGTACCGCTCTCATGGTCTTCCTCTTGAAAGAGTGTTCAATTCCAGCAGCTGATGTACTTATGTTGCCCTTATGAACAAGCCTACAGTCGGGAACAATTCTAAAACTTATTTTGTTGCAACTTTGATGGGCGCGGTTACCGTTTTGCAATCCTCGCTATGCACTCGCATAACTCCCTCCGTTTTCCAGTCACGGAATCCCGTTTCCTGCCAGCTATTGAGCACCACCATTTCTTACGCTGCTCTGACACGCCGCCTGCTGCCTGCATCCGAATTCCATGGCGGCTGCGGCTCCGCCTGCTGCGGAGCGAGCTACGGCATCTCGAGCGGCCGAGTGGCCCGAGTTATCCGCTGTTGAAGGGCTCAAAAGCAATCTGCGTCTTCTTTCCACTGACCAGGTACCGTCCGCCCAGGTACTGTCCGCCCAGGTACTGTCCGCCCAGGTATCGTCCGCCCAGGTACTGTCCGCCCAGGTACCGTCCGCCCAGGTACCGGCGTCCGCCCAGCACTCAGGCACCGATTTGCATAATTTTACATTACTTGGCGGGTACAAGTCCGTAGAGTCTCCTTTCCTGCCCTTCGCCCCGCCGTCATCATCGTCGCATTATCCCTGCTGTGCCTGCTTGCTCCGCTTCTCCGCCCCCCTCTCCCGTCGCTCTTCAGATCGACCTGGCCGGCAAGCTTGTCTCATGCGGTCAAGCGCATCTCTTCTCCCATTGGCCGGAGATTGGAAGCAATGATGACGACAAGCGGCGCTTCTTCGAGCAGGTGAGGGAAGGCAGGTGAGGGAAGGCAGGTGAGGGAAGGCAGGTGAGGGAAGGCAGGTGAGGGAAGGCAGGTGAGGGAAGGCAGGTGAGGGAAGGCAGGTGAGGGAAGGCAGGAGGGCGACACGGGCGTCCCTCAAGCACCAGGCCCATTTGTCTCCACGCTGCGAGTCTTGTCCGCATCATGCCATTGCCTCCCCCACCACTCTACCCCTCTCCCCCTCTCCCCCTTTCCCCACTCGACCTCTCCCGCTCTCCTTGTTCCCAACCTCCTTCCTCCTCAATCTGCTCTTCCCCGCCCCCTCCCCCTCCCCCCCAGGTAGCACGGCTGGATGCGAGCTACCCGGGGGGCTGCCGCGCTACATCAGCAACGCCAGACGATTGCTCGCGGACTCGCGGGATGGAGTGAACCCCTTCCATGGCTCCACGCCCGCTGTGCCCTCGGACGTCGCTTTTGAGTCACCCCCGGCCTCTTCCCCTCCCCCCCACGTCCCTCTAGGCCGCGCAGCTGGATGCGAGCTACCCGGGGGGTCTCCCGCGCTACATCAGCAACGCGAGGCGGTTACTCGCGGACTCACAGGACGGAGTGAACCCCTTCCATGGCTTCACCCCCGCTGTGCCCTCGGGCGTGCGCGTCAGGTTCGGTGAGCCCGACTTTGACGAGTTTGAGGCTCGGGGAATGGCGGAGGCTCGGAATACGGCGTTTGTGCTGGTGGCGGGCGGCCTGGGGGAGAGGCTCGGGTACAGCGGCATTAAGGTGAGGAAGGGAGAGGAAAGGAGAGAGGAGAGGGGAGGGGAGGGCAAGGTAGGGGAGGGGAGGGAAGGGGAGGGGAGGGAACATTACTAGGCTGACCAAGTTCCTTCCCCTCGCCGCCTGCCCATTCTGCACCCGCCCTCCTCCTCTCTCTCTCACAGACTCTATCCAACCTCTGCGCCTGGTTTCACCTCCCCTTGAATGCGGTGCCGTGCAGGTGGGGCTGCCAGCAGAGAGCACCACGGAGCACTGCTTCCTGCAGCTCTACATTGAGAGTATCCTCGCGCTGCAGCACACCTCCAACGCCCTCTCGCCAGGTCAGCACTGCATCACTCCTGCAAATTCTCCCTTAAAGCCCAAGACCCGAATTGCTAAAAAAGAAGGCAAACTGTGCACAGTTTGCCTCCCGCAGCCCACAGTTTTGCCCCGCATTGACTCTCGTTGCGCAATTCAGGTTTTGGGCTTTAAAGAAGAAAAGAGAAAGAAATAGAGCATGGAGTGCATTGGCACTCACGGACCTGTGGCACCTGCTGAACCCATGTATTTGCATCTGCTGGTTGCTCCACTCATCCCTCTTTAGGCGAGCCTCCGCGGCGCATCCCCCTGGTTATCATGACATCGGACGACACGCATGCGCGCACACAGGAGCTGCTCAGCGCGCACGGCTACTATGGCATGCGCCCCTCCCAGCTCACCCTTCTTAAACAGGTCCGCTCTTAGTTCTCGTGTGAGAGGGATGAGCGGTTGAGAGGGGTGGGAGGGCTGCTCAGCGCGCACAACTACTATGGCATGCGCCCCTCCCAGATCACCCTTCTCAAACAGGTCTGCACCGCGTGTGATGGCTTAGTCTCCAGAGGTGTGAGGGGGTGTGAGGAAGCATGAGAGGTGTGAGGAGGTGTGAGGGGCTGTGAGGGATGTGAAGCTTCTGGTTGAGATAGCGTGATATATGTTGGCGTGATATATGTTTTGTCAGCGCTGTTGAGCGCGAGAGGGAACTGGCCGTGACACACTGTGTAAATCGCGGCACTGCTGTCCCTTGCGTCCCCTGCATGTGTGGCATGGCAGGAGAAGGTGGCATGTGTGGCGGACAACGATGCACACCTTGCTCTCGACCCAAAGGACCCCTTCCTCATCCAGGTGCTCCTCTTATCGCTCCCCACATGCCTCTCACATGTTTCTGCTCATCTCATCGTCCCCAATCGCAGTTACGCGTAGCTTTCCTGCGTCACATTTGCCTCACTTCCCCACTTCCTTTGCGCCGTTCCCTACGTTTGCTCCATCTGCTCCACTCTGCCCTCTCTGCCTCTCTGTATGCTTCCATCCCGTGCTATGTGAATCTGGCAGACGAAGCCGCATGGCCATGGTGATGTGCACATGCTGCTGCATCAGAGCGGCCTCCTTCCCACATGGTGTGTGCGCCCTCATGCCACGCCACGCCCTCATGCCGCACCATGCCATGCCATGAAGTTTTGCAATAATTGTGAAGCCATTATGTTTTCCTGCTGAATATTGGCCCTGGATTTGGGATTGTCCTATGGTCTCCATGTGATTTAGCTGGGGTTTTCAATGAAAGTAGAAAGCCACATGTTTGGCACATGCACATGCACGCTCACATGCACATGGCATGTGGCACATGCAGGAGAGCAGCGGGAGTGGAGTGGGTGCTCTTCTTTCAGGACACCAACGGGCTGCTCTTCAAGGTACTCCACACATGCACCGCACCGTACCGCACTGCACAGCACTAGGATAAGCATGGCGTGCACGTATCAAAGGCGTGTCCATTCAGCTCCAGCCCCTGGTCACCGTTGTGCCATGCACGTAGCCATGCATGGAGAGTCATGCAAATGGCAGCTGTTGACTCTCTGCACAGCACCACCTGCTGTCAGTCAGCCTACCCTCTCTGCCTCCTCTCTTTGCGTCCCCCTTGTATACCTCCCCCTACGCCCATCTCCTGTGCGGCGTGCTGCCATGCCAGGTGGTGGCGAGCTCGCTGGGGGTGAGTGCGGTGAGGCAGCTGGACGTGAACTCACTGGCCGTGCACTAGTGGGTCACCTGCATCAATTGCACACCTCCCAACCCAGTTTCCGCGCCTCATTAGACTCCAACACCTCTCTGCCTGCCTCCTCGTCTCCCTTGCCAGGTGGTGCCCAGCTCGCTGGGGGTGAGTGCGCTGAGGCAGCTGGACGTGAACTCCCTAGCCGTGCCGCGCAAGGCCAAGGAGGCCATTGGGGGCATCGCCAGACTCACGCACTCCGATGGTATTGATTGAGAGAGGGGTAGATAGGTTGCGGTAAAGGGGAGGGAGTACGGGATCGGCTGTTGGGCATGGGCATGGGCATGGGCACCCAAGGCTGTGATGGGTCTTAAATTCATCCATCCATCCGTCGATGCATGCATGCATGCATGTGCCACCCATGCATCACACCACACAGGGCGCAGCATGGTGGTGAACGTGGAGTACAACCAGCTCGACCCATTGCTGCGGGCGTGCGGGCATGGTGATGGCGATGCCAACGACCCCACCACGGGCTTCTCACCCTTCCCCGGGAACATCAACCAGGTCTTTCTTTCCACGCCATGTCATGACACCCCATGCCATGCCAACCTATGCCACCCATGCCATGACACCCCATGCCATGCCAACCTATGCCACCCATGCCATGACACCCCATGCCATGACACCCCATGCCATGACACCCCATGCCATGACACCCCATGCCATGACACGCCATGCCATGACACCCCATGCCATGACACCCCATGCCATGACACCCCATGCCATGACACGCCATGCCATGCCGTGCATTCCAGGTTAGCCCGCACACCTCCACCTTTCCCTTGCACCCCATAGAGCTACCCCAGACTCTCACTCCCCTCTTCTCCCCACTGCCTCTCCTCTGCAGCTGGTGCTGCGCCTGGGCCCCTATATAGAGGAACTCGCTAAGACACATGGAGTCATCGGGGAGTTTGTCAACCCCAAGTGAGTCAAACGGCAAGCAAGGGATAGGATAGTGGGCAGTGTGTTGTGTCGCTGCATGCATTGAAAGTCTTACATTTTGTCTCATCCATGACATAACACTGCATGTTCACCTGTCTTTCCTCTCCCCTCACTGCTGTCTTTCCTCTCCCCTCACTGCTGTCTTTCCTCTCCCCTCACTGCTGTCTTTCCTCTCCCCTCACTGCTGTCTTTCCTCTCCCCTCACTGCTGTCTTTCCTCTCCCCTCACTGCTGTCTTTCCTCTCCCCTCACTGCTGTCTTTCCTCTCCCCTCACTGCTGTCTTTCCTCTCCCCTCACTGCTGTCTTTCCTCTCCCCTCACTGCTGTCTTTCCTCTCCCCTCACTGCTGTCTTTCCTCTCCCCTCACTGCTGTCTTTCCTCTCCCCTCACTGCTGTCTTTCCTCTCCCCTCACTGCTGTCTTTCCTCTCCCCTCACTGCTGTCTTTCCTCTCCCCTCACTGCTGTCTTTCCTCTCCCCTCACTGCTGTCTTTCCTCTCCCCTCACTGCTGTCTTTCCTCTCCCCTCACTGCTGTCTTTCCTCTCCCCTCACTGCTGTCTTTCCTCTCCCCTCACTGCTGTCTTTCCTCTCCCCTCACTGCTGTCTTTCCTCTCCCCTCACTGCTGTCTTTCCTCTCCCCTCACTGCTGTCTTTCCTCTCCCCTCACTGCTGTCTTTCCTCTCCCCTCACTGCTGTCTTTCCTCTCCCCTCACTGCTGTCTTTCCTCTCCCCTCACATCCGCCATTCTCGTCCCTCACCCCGCTCTACCCACTTCACTTGGCACTTTCTCCCTCTCCTCTCCCTCTCCTCTCCCTCTCCTCTCCCTCTCCTCTCCCTCTCCTCTCCCTCTCCTCTCCCTCTCCTCTCCCGCCTCCCCCCCCATCAGGTACACAGATGCCTCGCGCACGGCATTCAAGGCGTCCACGCGCCGCGAGTGCATGATGCGATGCAGGACTTCATCCAGGCCATCACTCACGCGATTTCTCCTCTCCTTCTTCCTACTCTCCCTCGTCTCCGTATTCCCCCCCTCCCCCCCCGTCAGGTATACAGACACCTCGCGCACGGCATTCAAGGCGTCCACGCGCCTCGAGTGCATGATGCAGGACTTCCCCCAGGCCATCTCGCCCTCTCGCTCTGTTGGCTTCACGGTCAGCCAGCCCCTCTCTCTCATGTCATTCTCTCCCTCGCTGAAATCTCCACCCCTCCCCCTCTTCTCCTCTGCCTAGACCCCTGTTTTCTATTACCGTCGCCTTCAAACAACTGTTACTTGCTGCCTCTACTTTATGTTCTATTGCGATTGTCGAGCGAGGAACCTTGCTTGACACACCCAATATGCTCATTTATCTTCCCTCAGTTTCCCCTCGTCTCTCTCTCCCTCTCCTTCTCCCTTCCCCCCCCTCCCTCCCTTACTCCCTCACTCCCTCCCCCCTTCCCAGGAAGCTGACGTGTGGCTTGCCTATTCGCCCGTGAAGAACAATCTCCGCGACGCCATCGCCAAGCTGGCAGCCGGCACGCCACCGCACAGCGCCACGTCAGCAGAGCTCCACCTGTACCGCGCCAACTGTCTCATCCTGAGGCACGTAGGCGTCCACGTGGCAGGCCCTAAGGTCACAGTCATTGGCAGGCAGGAGGTGGAGGTGTGGCCTCGTGTGGTGTGGTCGCCCCTCTGGGCTCCCACCCTCGCTGCTCTGCGCTCCCGCTTCCCCCACCCCGAGCAAGTGCGGATTTCTGAGGATTCGACCTTGGTCATTGAAGTGGCAGGGGGGGTGGATGGAGGAAGAGGAGAGGGAGAGGAGGTGGGGAGGGAGGGTCAGGCAGGGGAGATAGAGGGTGGGGCAGCAGGGGAGGGGGGGAGAGGTGAGAGGGAGGGGGAGGGGCAGCAGGAAGGGCGGGTGGAGGTGCAGAGCCTGCAGCTGGAGGGAGCGCTGTGGGTGAAGGCAGGGAGAGGTACGATGGTGGTGCTGGAAGGGCTCCAGGTGTCGAACCGTGGTTGGCCGATTGTGCGAGTGGACCCGGAGGATTCGGAGATCCCTGAGTGGGTTCGAATCCGAGGGTTCAGGATTGACCGGCTGGAGTGCCGGCGAGTGGAAGAAAGTACAGGGGAGAGCAGGCGAGTGGTGGTGAGGGAGTGAGGACGGATGCAAGACAGCGTGCTTACCCTGTGTGCAATGCCAGTGCCTGCAAGCAGGTCTCCTCTCGAATGCAATATAGATGCCATGTGATATGGACTTGGCTTTAGGCAGCCAGGACTGCACACACAAGTGTGTTTAGAAAATATATTACATGTAGTGTAGTTCTAGATACAAGTGAACTGTACACTGTCCCTCATGCAGTCAGTCAGAGTCAAGAGTAAAGATGTCTGCAAAGGGCAGCGGCGGAGAGTCCCCTTTCTGCAACGTAACCAAGGGATCCTCTCTCCTTGCACCTGCTGATACACATGCACCTGATGCTCCTTGTGCTCTTGCTTCCCCGCCTGCTGCACCTACTGCACCTACTGCACCCGCTGCACCTGCTGCACCCGCCACACCTACTCCTGTTGTCCTTCCTCTCCAAGCAACTACAGCAGAGGGAGCCACTGCATGCACCACCACCCCTCCCACATGGGCTGCATACACAGCATCTGCACTAGGGCTGCATGTTACTCGAGTAACACTTGGAGAAGCAGCTGCCACAATGCGGTGCAGTGGCAGCTGCTGCTGCCTGTGTGCTTCTTGCTGGGGCTCCGGCCCTCCTTGCGCATCCCCCCATGTGATACTGCCTCTTGCATGCATCCCTTCATGTATGCCCCCATGCATACCGCCATACAGACTCCCATGCATGCCCGCATGCAAGTTGCCATGCATGGCATCATCCATCTGCTCTAACAGCATGCTGCTACCCATGCCGTCGCCATCACCCACGCCATCGCTTGCACCCATGCCATTCCCTTCCCTCACACCATCCCCCTCGCCCATCCCCTCCCACACACCATCACTGCAGCTGAGGCTACGGGTGGGCTGCATGCCCCGCTGCAGCACCCACTGCGACCCCTCTGCACCGCTTGCCACTCGAGGCACTGCTGCAGAGTGAATTGGTATACTTAATGGTGACTGTACAGGGTGGTGACAGTGAGAGGGTGATTGCAGAGGGGCAGCGTATGCAGTGGCCACTGGGGCAAGGAGAGCTTGCGGTGAATGCGGTGGTGGGGAAGCGAGAGCAGGGAGAGGGGATGGGGGGGTGGAGGCAGCACGGTGATCTGTGTGGCAATGAGGGTGGGGAGCGGGGAAGGCAAGAGTGGTGGGTGCGAGAGGGGTGTCAGTGGGTGGTTGGCGGGATGAGGAGAGGTGAGTGGGGCTGGACGCAGGGGATAGGAGGACGGAGGAGTGATGAGGCAGGGGACCGGAGGCACCAGGTGTTGCTGATGCTGCTGGTGCTCGAGGTGTGGTGGTTACGACTCCTGATGAGGAGTGACGTTGGGCAGTCGGTAAGTGTGGCTGTACAGAATGTGCCTGTAAGGGAAGCAGATCATGCATGCTCTTTCTTTGCTGCCGGTACTCCATCACCTCCTCCTCCTGCTGCTGCTTCTGCCCCTCCTGCTGTTGCTGCTGCTGCTGCTCCTTCTCCTGCTGCTGCAGAGCAAAGGGCGCTGGAAATCGCTGGGCTGAAGCATGGGGCTGCCATGATGGGTAGCTGGCGCAGAAGCTGTTGTATGCACGGCAGCACAAGAAGAGGGAGGGAAAGAGGGGGAGGGGGGGAAGGGTAGAGGAGCAGTGGAGTACAAGAGAAGGGGACGGGGGGGAGGGAAAGAGGGATATTGCAGGATGAGGAGAGAGGAAGGGGAACGGAGAGCACGAGAGCGCCAGAGCCAAGCAGCAGGATGCTGGCAATGAAACGGGTGTGCTAGGAATGAGGAGCCAACCACACCACACCATCAGCCAGTGCGCACCCTCACTCAAGCACCCCCATGAGCAGCACCACACCCACCTGGCAAACGAAGCCTCTGCCTTGCTCTCACTGCTAGCCACTGCCAGCAATGCGCCATTTACCCCCCCTCTGTGGCTCCACTTCGAGCCTCCTTGTCCATCCTCCAAACCAACAGCTATATCCCCCACCGTCCCTCCACACACTCCCACCCCACGCCCATCCTCACACTCCCCCTCTCGCACACCCCCTTCGCTCCAACCTCCCCCTTGGCCACTGCCGCTTGCGCCATCATCACCCTTGGAATCCGCATTCCATGCACTCTTCCCGCTGCTGCTGGCACGCCGCTCCCCCTGTGACTGGAACGCACTGTGGGAGCACACGTGGCCCAGCCCCTCCTGGTACGTGGAGGCGGTGCGCAGGAAGGCGAGAATGGCGTCCGCCCTCTGCGGGATTGGCAGGTGGGCCGATGGGGTAGACAAGGGCAGACTAAGACGAGAAAGGTGACGAGAGGTGACGGCAGTCATATGAGACGGAGTTCGGGTGGATACGAGGAGCCGGATGGGGAAAGGGAGGGATGAAGAATGGGATGGAGGGAAACAGTGGGATGGAGGGGGCAGGAAGAGGAATGTAGCAGGGCGGGGGGAGGCAATACCTGGGGCAGGATGAACCAGAGCATGAGCGGCGTGGTGAAGATGGCGAGCACGTCCGCGAGGAAGAGCAGCGGCTTCAGCTGTCCACAGACGTGCACACGCGGGGAGGGGAGAGGAGAGGAGAGGAGAGGAGAGGAAATGAGTTGAGAGGAGAGGAAATGAGATGAGAGCAGAGGAAATGAGATGAGAGCAGAGGAGAGGACAGGAGAGGGAGGGGGGGAGGACGAACGAGGCAAGAGAATAAGCAGGAGTGGGTGACAATGAAAGAAAGGAGGGTGCTACAGGGGAGTCACACACACTAGCATAACCGTCACACACACGCCACTCACAACAAGCACACACCTGGTAGAGCGTCTGAGTCTTTGACTCGCTGTGTGTGCGCCTTGCAGCACCACCGGGTGGGCAGGAAGTGTGTGTGCTGCACGGCCCTCAGCAGTGCGCCCAACCAGGCCCTCAGCAGTGCGCCCAAACAGGCCCCTCACAAAGCACACGCCCCACACAACACACTTTCACCTGGTAGAGCGTCTGAAATTCGTCCCTGACTCTCTGTGTGTGCGCCTTGCTGCGCCACCGGGTGGGCAGGAAGTGTGTGTGCCTTGCGGCCCTCAGCAGCGCGCCCTTGGGATCCACACTGCCCGCCGCCCTGTCCGCCTGCGCCACCGGCCGTGCTGCTGCCAGCACCGCGCCCAGTATGGCCGCGTACCACACCAGGCCGCGCCCAAAGAGCTGGGGAACGATGGGTGCACGAGGGGAACAAGACAGAAAAGGAGGTGACGTTTCGAGTTGACTCAAGAGGCCGTGCTGCTTCCAGCACCGCGCCCAGTATGAGCAAGGGAAACTGCGACCGGGTGAGAAGCCTCACCTCCTTGGGCTCACCTCCTCCTCAGTGCCTCACCTGCGCTTCCAGCAGCTTCTCATCCGCGAGAGCCAAGGCGAGCAGCAGAGCAGCCAAGGAGCCAGCAACAAAGGAGAGGAGCTTGGCGGCCAGGGCGAGCAGCGGCGAGGGGAACTGCGCCAGGTACTCGTCCGCGCGCGGGCATGCCTCGTCCAGGCGCTGCGAGGTCAGATGGTCCACCTGAGGGGGACGTTGGGGGGGAGCAGGGCACGTCGATGGGTCTCATTGCCGGACTTAGGGTTGAAACCAGGGCAGTTAAACGGGAATGTGTAGCAGGTCGGACATCTCGAGAGATACGCGGCAGGCAAGCAGCATTCACCTCCTTGCAGTGCTCAAGACCCCTCCTCACCTCGTTGCACCCCTTAAACGTCCCGCCTCACCTCATTGTACTCCTTGAACATCCAGCGAGCGAGGTTGGACCAGGAGCGCACGCCCGCAGCAGCAGGCTCATGGTAGAGGTGGTGGGCCTTGCGGAGCAGGAAGAAGGAGAGCACAAAGAGCAGCACAAACGGCGACAGCAGCGCCAGCAGCCACCCCGAGAGGATAAATCTTTGCCGCAGCGCTGCAGGGTCGTCCAGGAAGTGTTTGTGCAGGCGACCGTGGCGGTCCAGCAAGGGGTGCAGCACACACCAGTGCACCACCCACTCCAGCGTCTTGCTCAGCACCGTCACCCGCACACACCCCTCCTCCCTCTCCTCCTCTCGCTCCTCCCCTCGCCCCGTCCTTCCCTTGCGCCGCCTCCTCTCATGCACCACGTGGAAGGACAGCAGCGGCCCCACGGCACTCAGCAGCGCAGCAGCGAGCGCAGCACCTGTGCTTCCCGATCCTGCATGTCCCCCCCCGGCAGCAGGCACGCGCACAGTGAGCAGGCGCGAGTCCACGAGCGCCACCAGGTAGTTGTCTCGCCGTGTGATGCGCGCCGCCACCTCGTACGCTGACAGCCCCCCCACCCGCGCCCTGCCTCCGCACATCCTGCCTGCCCCTCGCCCTCCTATCCCTCGCACCACTCCCATTCCTGAAATCCCTCCTCCCCCTGCTGCATCTGCCTCCAACCATTGCCCCAGACCCCGCTCTCCCTTTTCCTGTGGCTGCTCCCCCTCCTCCTCGTCCTCGCTGGAATCCTCCTCCCCTCCGCCACCTGCACGCTCCCCCGCACTCTCCCCCATCTCCCCCGCGCCCTCGTCATTCCACGCGCGCACCAGGCGCGCCACCACGGCGGGCCAGGGCGTCATGAGCAGCTGATGGTCCGACAGGCGCAACCTGCGCGGATGGGGGGATGGCGGGCATGGGGGGATGGTGGGGATGGGGGGATGGTGGGGATGGGGGGATGGTGGGGATGGTGGGGATGGGGGGTCAGAGGCGCAAGGAGGAAGACGGACAAGAGGAGAGAGAGATGCATTGATGGGGGATGCATTGATGGGGGATGCATTGATGGGGGATGCATTGATGGGGGATGCATTGATGGGGGATGCATTGATGGGGGATCCAGCGCAGCAGCCCTACAACGTCACGGGCAAGCGCAGCACACAGCACAGCACGCACCTGTGGCGGTACACGCGCAGCACGCACCTGTGGTGGAAGAGGGCGCGCGTTTCCAGCAGCGCGGGGAGGCGCAGGAAAAAGTGCGCGAAGCAGAGGAGCCAGTACAGGCACAGCAGCGCCAGGTACGCCGTTACTGTCACCTCCCACACAGTCACACGCCGGAACACGTCCCTCCTTATGGCGTGCTTCAGCACGTTGCATGCGCCCTCCGCTGCCCCCTCCGCTTCATGCATCGCCGCCTCTGCTGCACCCTCTGCTGCGCCCTCTGCTACTCTCCCCTCCACCACTACCCTCTCCCCTGCTAACCCCCTCTCTGCTTCCGTTCCCGCTGCTACTCTCTCCTCTGCTGCGCTCCCCTGTACAAGCCTCCTCCTCCGCTCCCCAGGGATTATCGCATCCTGCAGCGCGCCTGCTTCGACTCTCGACCCATCCCCACCACTATATACACCTACGTATGAGCCTCTATATACAGGACTATTTACAATCGTGTCTGGCCCAACACCGTTCATTGCCCCTGCACCCCTACCCTGTGTGCTTCTCTCCCCATCTCGCTCGTACGGACGTCCCTCGCGCCACTCCCTTTCGCCCCGCGTCTCCGCCAGTGTCCGCACAGCGGGACGCTCACCCGCCCCCGTCGCCGCGAATCCACCGCTGGTGGCAGCAGCGGGAGTAGCGTGGGGAGCGGCGGAGATGGCGGCGGCTGCGGCGGCGGCGGAGGCGGCGGAGCAGTTGAGCGAGAGGAGCGCGCGCCAGTCGATGAGGAGCAGCAGCAGCGCGGAGAAGAGGATGGTGAAGGCCAGGCTGCACAGGTGCACCACCCACTGCCACCGTTGGGCGGAGGGGGATGGGGGAGGGGATGACGGGCGGGGAGGGGGAAGGGGGAAGGGGGAGGGAGAAGGGTCGCGGGGAGAGAGTAAAACGGGAAGAGCTTACGAGCTTGCGAGAGGGAAATGGAGGATGGGAGCGGAGAGTTGACGAGCACCGGTAGCCATAGGGACGTCGTCACTCACACTCGTGACCATGCACACGAAGCCTCGCCCGCAGTAGTACTCGTACACGCCTCGCATGAACCCGTCCACGTCGCCAACTCTTCGCCAATCTTCGCCCACTTCTTCTCTCGCTCCCTCCTCTGTCAGGTCCGGCGGGCCGAGCTGCACGTCAAGCTCGGCCGCACCGAACCTGCTGTTCAGGTTCGGATGTACGTCAATTTCAGCAGCTCCAAGCCTGTGCTGCAGGTTTGAGGTTTGGAGACGGCTTTCTGATGGAGTACGGGCTTGACTGTCCTGGTCCAGAGCGGCTTGGAACTCATGAAACTCGTGAAACTCGTTATAATCACGTTTGCTACGAAACCCTAATCCGGTAGAAGAACGTTGGCGTGGGTCCCTGGCAGTCGCACGTCTACTGTTCGCCGGCTCCGGCGGATCCTCGATCTCTAGCGGCACGTACGCGACGCCGCGTAACGCCTCCTGATCGGCGTCATATGCCATGATGCTTCCGCGAAGGTGGCTAGCTTGTCGTAGAAACAGGGTTAGCACGGAAGTCTGGCGGGAAACGCCAGTGCACGCGAAGTCTAAACCTAATCATGGATGAACAGACTATCACAGCCTAAAAGTCGACGGAACATCTTCGAGTTTGATGTCCGTCTCGGTATATGAATGAACGGAACAGTCGTCGATGAAGCCGTGGGACGAAGCGGACAGAAGAACTCAACAGGAGCCCATTTCTTCGCATTGAAGCTGTGATGACGCGAAACAGCATGAAAAGACGACCGCCAGACCACACTCTCCAGCAGCCGTGGACTGGCTGGAGAGGAGCTGGAGGAAGGCGGATAACGAGAAGAACAAGAGGTTGATAGGGAATGTGGTGCGACGTGGCTGAAAGTGAAGGGTTGATATCTCGACATTTAGCTTGTAGCGCGTACAAGAGTGCTAGTACCGTACAATGCAGCGGTTCCGTTTGATCAATGAGTGAATCAGTCAACCTCAAAACATAATGGTTTCTGCATACCTGTTTGCTATTCTGTGTTGCCATTGCATGGATGCAGTGCTGCTGGTATTTCCATCTTCCTGAATCATGTACTGCCGACATAGTACAGCACTAAATTCCCTGTACTGCCTCTACTAGTGCAGTTCTGTATTGTCTGTAGCATCACGTGCTGTCTCAACTACTGTAGTTCTGTCTTTTCTGTAGAGTCCTGTACTGCCTCCACTACTGCCATATTGTTTTGTCTGTAGAATCCTGTACTGCCACTACTACTGTACTGTACTGCAGTACTGTACGGCATTGTCTGTCAAATCCTGCACTGCCTCTACTACTGCAGTACTGTATTGTTACCGTAGTTAAATCCTGCACTGCCTACACTACTGTAGTCCTGTATTGTTGCAGAATCCTGTGCTGCAACTACTACAGCAGCATTATTATGTTACGAATTTCTGTACTACTGCAGCATTATAGTGTTACAAAATCCAGTACTGCCATTGCACTTGGAGGGGTCTTCCTTGCTTCCTTGGTAGGGCCCCTCTTGGCCGCCAGGGTTGCCCCTGACGTTACACCCAAACACCACGGTGAGGTGGAGGCCATCGTTTGGGACCCTGTTGGGGGGGCTGAGAAACAAAGAGAGGAGACAAGCTATGAGGCAAACAATGCTCCTGCCCCCGGGGCAGGAGATAAGGCAAACGATGCACCTCAGGCAGACAGTGCTGTCCCAGGCTCACTGCACCTGCGGGAGGGAGGGACGCGGGAGCAATGCAAGCACGGTCGGCACAGGTTCGACAGGGCACGGGCGCACGAACAGGTTACGGTCGACACGGGTTCGACAAGGCACGGGCGCACGAACAGGCTACGGTCGGCATAGGTTCGACAAAGGCACGGGCGCACGAACAGGCTACGGTCGGCACAGGTTCGACAGGGCACGGGCGCACGAACAGGTTACGGTCGGCACAGGTTCGACAGGGCACGGGCGCACGAACAGGTTACGGTCGGCACAGGTTCGACAGGGCACGGGCGCACGAACAGACCACCTTAGCCTGGTGCCGCCGGGGCTGATGTTGGCGCTGCTGTTGTCACTCCTCGTGCTGCTGTTGTCACTCCTCGTGCTGCTGTTGTCACTCCTCGTGCTGCTGTTGTCACTCCTCGTGCTGCTGTTGTCACTCCCCATGCTGGTGCTGCTGGTGTTGGCACTCCCGGTGCTGGCGGTGGTGCAGCCACCATGCTGCTCCATGCGCTCTTGCCGCTCCTCCAGGGCTGTCCAGTCCTCACCAGATCCTTAGTAGCCAAGATGCATCCTGCAGAGGAATCCGGGAGGAGACTGAAGAGGACAAATAAGTTGCTGATGAAGAGCGAGTGAAAAGAGAATGCAGAACAAAAGAAAACAAGGAACAAGAAAACAAGGAACAAGGAACTTGCGACAAGGAAGAAGAAAACAGGAAACAAACAACGATGCTGCCCCCAACCCCATACTCCCTTGTGAAAGAAGCCGTTGCTGGTGGCAGACGGCGCTCCATCCTCCTCCGCGCGCCAACCGCTCTCCATCCCCCCTCCCGAGTACGCTGCCGCGCCTCTCGTGCTGCTGCTGTCCTCTCCAGCTCTCCAATCCGCCATGCCGCGTCCTATAGCAACACGGGAATGCAGGAGGGGGAAGCTAAAGAGGAAAGATGAGTTGCTGGTGAAGTGTCAAGCGGAAACGGAATGAAAGCAGAAGGCAAAACTTGCGACAACAGAAAGAAACAAGAAAACAAGAAAACAAGAAACAAACAACGATGCTCCCCGCAACCCCATACTCCCTTGTGAAAGAAGTCGTTGCTGGTGGCAGACGGCGCTCCATCCTCCTCCGCGCGCCAACCGCCCTCCATCCCCCCTCCCGAGTACGCTGCCGCGCCTCTCGTGCTGCTGCTGTCCTCTCCAGCTCTCCAATCCGCCATGCCGTGTCCTGTAGCAACACGAGAATGCAGGAGGGGGAAGCTAAGGAGGAAAGATGAGTTGCTGGTGAAGGGTCAAGTGAAAACGGAATGCAAAACACAAGCGAAAACTTGCGATGAGGAAAACAAACAGGAAAACAAACAGGAGAACTAGAAAAGAACTAAATTGCTACTCCCTTCTAAAAGAAGGAGTAGGTTGCTCCATCCCCCTCCGCTTCAACCCGCCTTTATCCTCCCTCCCGAGTATGCTGCCGCGCCTCTCATGCTGCTGCCATCCTCTCCCGCCATGCCACGACCTGTAGCAACACAGCAATGCAAGAGGAGGAAGCTAAGGAGGAAAAATGAGTTGCTGGTGAAGGGTCAAGTAAAAACAAACAGAATGTTAAAGGAAAACAAAACATGCGACAAGGAAAAAACAAGAAACTAACGAAGTGGTTCCCATCAGCCCCATACTCCCTTCTGAAAGTAGGGCGTCTCTGGTGGCAGCTGCTGCTCCATCCTCCTCCCTCCACTGCTGCCGTCTGCTGGCACCGCACCCCACCGCACCGCGCTCCCTCCATCTCCTCAACTCCGACCATGCCTTGCTGTCTGATAAAAACATGAGAAAGCAAACAGCATTAGACGGTGGAAGGAAGCCAAAAGCGGAATGCAAACTTACAGAAGGGGATGGAAGGCCAGGCCGCCGTAGGCATAGGCGTTGCACTCGCATGCAGAGAAGGCGGCCGTGGGCGTTGCACTCGCATGCAGAGAAGGCGGCCGTGGGCGTTGCACTCGCATGCAGAGAAGGCGGCCGTGGGCGTTGCACTCGCATGCAGAGAAGGCGGCCGTGGGCGTTGCACTCGCATGCAGAGAAGGCGGCCGTGGGCGTTGCACTCGCATGCAGAGAAGGCGGCCGTGGGCGTTGCACTCGCATGCAGAGAAGGCGGCCGTGGGCGTTGCACTCGCATGCAGAGAAGGCGGCCGTGGGCGTTGCACTCGCATGCAGAGAAGGCGGCCGTGGGCGTTGCACTCGCATGCAGAGAAGGCGGCCGTGGGCGTTGCACTCGCATGCAGAGAAGGCGGCCGTGGGCGTTGCACTCGCATGCAGAGAAGGCGGCCGTGGGCGTTGCACTCGCATGCAGAGAAGGCGGCCGTGGGCGTTGCACTCGCATGCAGAGAAGGCGGCCGTGGGCGTTGCACTCGCATGCAGAGAAGGCGGCCGTGGGCGTTGCACTCGCATGCAGAGAAGGCGGCCGTGGGCGTTGCACTCGCATGCAGAGAAGGCGGCCGTGGGCGTTGCACTCGCATGCAGAGAAGGCGGCCGTGGGCGTTGCACTCGCATGCAGAGAAGGCGGCCGTGGGCGTTGCACTCGCATGCAGAGAAGGCGGCCGTGGGCGTTGCACTCGCATGCAGAGAAGGCGGCCGTGGGCGTTGCACTCGCATGCAGAGAAGGCGGCCGTGGGCGTTGCACTCGCATGCAGAGAAGGCGGCCGTGGGCGTTGCACTCGCATGCAGAGAAGGCGGCCGTGGGCGTTGCACTCGCATGCAGAGAAGGCGGCCGTGGGCGTTGCACTCGCATGCAGAGAAGGCGGCCGTGGGCGTTGCACTCGCATGCAGAGAAGGCGGCCGTGGGCGTTGCACTCGCATGCAGAGAAGGCGGCCGTGGGCGTTGCACTCGCATGCAGAGAAGGCGGCCGTGGGCGTTGCACTCGCATGCAGAGAAGGCGGCCGTGGGCGTTGCACTCGCATGCAGAGAAGGCGGCCGTGGGCGTTGCACTCGCATGCAGAGAAGGCGGCCGTGGGCGTTGCACTCGCATGCAGAGAAGGCGGCCGTGGGCGTTGCACTCGCATGCAGAGAAGGCGGCCGTGGGCGTTGCACTCGCATGCAGAGAAGGCGGCCGTGGGCGTTGCACTCGCATGCAGAGAAGGCGGCCGTGGGCGTTGCACTCGCATGCAGAGAAGGCGGCCGTGGGCGTTGCACTCGCATGCAGAGAAGGCGGCCGTGGGCGTTGCACTCGCATGCAGAGAAGGCGGCCGTGGGCGTTGCACTCGCATGCAGAGAAGGCGGCCGTGGGCGTTGCACTCGCATGCAGAGAAGGCGGCCGTGGGCGTTGCACTCGCATGCAGAGAAGGCGGCCGTGGGCGTTGCACTCGCATGCAGAGAAGGCGGCCGTGGGCGTTGCACTCGCATGCAGAGAAGGCGGCCGTGGGCGTTGCACTCGCATGCAGAGAAGGCGGCCGTGGGCGTTGCACTCGCATGCAGAGAAGGCGGCCGTGGGCGTTGCACTCGCATGCAGAGAAGGCGGCCGTGGGCGTTGCACTCGCATGCAGAGAAGGCGGCCGTGGGCGTTGCACTCGCATGCAGAGAAGGCGGCCGTGGGCGTTGCACTCGCATGCAGAGAAGGCGGCCGTGGGCGTTGCACTCGCATGCAGAGAAGGCGGCCGTGGGCGTTGCACTCGCATGCAGAGAAGGCGGCCGTGGGCGTTGCACTCGCATGCAGAGAAGGCGGCCGTGGGCGTTGCACTCGCATGCAGAGAAGGCGGCCGTGGGCGTTGCACTCGCATGCAGAGAAGGCGGCCGTGGGCGTTGCACTCGCATGCAGAGAAGGCGGCCGTGGGCGTTGCACTCGCATGCAGAGAAGGCGGCCGTGGGCGTTGCACTCGCATGCAGAGAAGGCGGCCGTGGGCGTTGCACTCGCATGCAGAGAAGGCGGCCGTGGGCGTTGCACTCGCATGCAGAGAAGGCGGCCGTGGGCGTTGCACTCGCATGCAGAGAAGGCGGCCGTGGGCGTTGCACTCGCATGCAGAGAAGGCGGCCGTGGGCGTTGCACTCGCATGCAGAGAAGGCGGCCGTGGGCGTTGCACTCGCATGCAGAGAAGGCGGCCGTGGGCGTTGCACTCGCATGCAGAGAAGGCGGCCGTGGGCGTTGCACTCGCATGCAGAGAAGGCGGCCGTGGGCGTTGCACTCACGTCCAACGTTGACGAAAAGAGGAGTGCTGATCAGGAGGGCGTCAGAGACGGAAAGAGGAGTTACCAGGAATAGGGTACTGAAGTAAAGTGGCCAGGGAGGAGGAGCCAACGGTTGGGCAAGCGGGAGGATGAGAAACCCCAATCGAAGGTGGCCAGCCCCCAATCGAAGCAACGCATCCCGACACACGCTTACCGCGCCGCGGCTCAGCTGGGCAAGAGGGAGAGTGGGAACTAACAAAAGGGGGGGCCAGCCCACAATTGAAAGTAACACCACCCTGACACACTCTTCCCGCAGCTCCGCTCGGCAAGAGGGAGAGTGAGAGCCAACTAGAGGGGGAGCCACCCCCCAATCAAAGGATCACCTCGACACACTCTTTCCGCAGCTTTAGTCCCCTTCCACATACGACATCATCCCTCTCCAAGTTCCTCCTCTTCCAACCCATCAACCACTCCCTCTCACACCTCCACCTCACCCCACGGGTGCAGCAGGTGCAGAGCACACGCATGGGCAAAGTAAAGCTTCGTTCGCTCCGTCCTTGCTCCATCTGCCTCGCCTCGCGAGCCGCCAGCAAGCGAGTGAGAGAATTTCTCCAGTGGCCAATCGGGTGATTCATTCTCTCTCGGGGGGCCTCGATTTACTCGAGTGGCCACGAAATTGGGTGATAATTACTCGAGTGGCCACGCCAGGGGATTCCTGCTCGCTTTTTTTTCACCGGAGAATTACCCTATGGGGATTTGTAGCCCTGAAATTCCTTATTCGTGCGAGTGGTATTCCTAGGTAGTGTTCCGTTCTGTTCCGCAACTTAAAATTTCGCCAAGCTCACGGACGCGAAAGTGGCCCGCCCACTGTACAAGAAACTGACCAACAGTACATTGACCGGTCAGTTTCGGCCAAATGCGCGACCAATGAGCGCGCGGTCCATCTAATTAACATCCAATCAGCGATCGAGTAAATGACTTCGCGATCATATGCTGCATTTCACCCGAAACGAACCGACACAGCAAAACGACCGCGCTCGATTGGTCAGGAGATAGAGTGGTGCATTTGTTGCCACTGCGCGTCTAATCAGGCGCAAGATTTACGGATTGCCGATCATATTTGAACGCGTTCATTAAACACAATTTACTATATGGCTGTATGGGATTTAAGAGTATGTTTTATATGAACCCTAAGCACACAACTTGGACAAATCATATGCGCACTAATATTTGTTAGTGTGCGGTCCTATTTTATATATGGTTGCCATTTCATTTGGACGGGGATAATTGGACGCTCAATGGCAAAGCATATCCTGAGATTAAAACAAACCAGTCACGCGCGGTAATTTAGTTTATCGCGAATTGATGGCCGATCATTTCGGTATATGATGGGGAATTCAATGATGGCGCCTGATTGGACGCTCAATGGCAACATATGCACCGCGCATGTTTTTTACGTATCATGCGCGTGCATTAGGGGTGTGGCTGTTCGCTTCGGGTCTATAGGATTATATGATCGAGAAGTTATATGCTCGATCGCTGATTCGTTCGGAATTAGATGGACCGCGAGCTCATTGGTCGCGCATTTGGCCGAAACTGACCGGTCAATGTACTGTTGGTCAGTTTCTTGTACAGTGGGCGGGCCACTTTCGCGTCCGTGAGCCTGGCGAAATTTTAAGTTGCGGAACAGAACGGAACACTACCTAGGAATACCACTCCCACGAATAAGGAATTTCGAGGCTACAAATCCCCATAGGGTAATTCGCCGGTGAAAAAAAAGCGAGCAGGAATCCCCTGGCGTGGCCACTCGAGTAATTATCACCCAATTTCGTGGCCACTCGAGTAAATCGAGGCCCCCCGAGAGAGAATGAATCACCCGATTGGCCACTGGAGAAATTCTCTCCAAGCGGGTGGTCAGCAGGGCGGGTAGGAGGCAGTCACATGCACGTGGCTGCCGGCCGTGCGTCGTCCCACCACGTTGCGCCACAAACAACCTCTCATTGCGCCACAAACATCTCACCTCTCTCGATGAGCAGCAGGATGCGTCCATCCTCGTTGCATCCACCGGGCCTTGGGTCCTCCAGCCACAAATCGCTTGCTCAATCTGTGAGCACCGTAGAATCCAGTCAGCACACACATACCAGAGCGGCACCATGCACCCACCCACCAGAGCAAGTCCTTGAGCTCGCTCCTCTCCCGCTGGATCCGTTGTGCCTTGGATCCTCCTGAAAAGAGCCTCGCTCAATCCGCCCTAGGGGAGATTGGGCTCCACACCGCCTCTCTCCAACTCACCTCACCTCGCCTTGCCTTGTCTCGAGCTCAAGAGAGAGAGAGAGTAAAGGGCTCAAGAGAGCTCACATCCAGAGAAGGTCGTTGCCGCCTCTATCGATGAAGAGTTGAAAGACAGAGGAGAACGCCAGCGAGATTCACGAAAAGAGAGAGGGAGTAAAGGGCTCAAGAGAGCTCACATCCAGAGAAGGTCATTGCTGCCAAGAGTGTCGATGAAAATTCCAAAGACAAACGAGAATGAATGACAAAGAGATTAAGAGACAGAGTTAAGAGGCGGGGGTAAGGAAACTCAATTAGAGTCGTTATCGACTGCACCATAATGGAACCCGCCTCCACCAGAAGCACCGCCTCCTCACACACGGGTGGTCAGCAGGGCGGGTAGAGGCAGCCACGGGTAGAGGCAGCCACACGCCTGTGGCTGCCGGCCGTGCGTCATCCCACCGCGTGCGCTCGTCCATCCGGGATGCATGCGCGCCACCCACGGCCCGTATGCCTCCGTTGCACGCGCTCTTGCTGAGTCTGCTCTGCTCCCTGAGAGGCGAGCAGTGGTCAGCAGGACGGACAGCAGCAGTGTTGCCTGGCGTGCGTCATCCCACTGCCGCCCTCTGCTGGCTCTGCATGGAGAGCAACAAAAACAGAGAGAGGATACAGAACGGAACTCGCCACGGGCGAGAAATTAGGAAACATGAGAGCGGAGAGAGCGAATGGCAAACAAGAATGAAAGGCAAACAAGTATGAATGGAAAACAAGAATGAGTTGCAAACAAGAATGGCAAACAAGAATGAAAGACAAACAAGTATGAATGGAAAACAAGAATGAGTGGCAAACAAGAATGAATGGCAAACAAAAACGAACGGCAAACAAGAACAAAAGGCAAACACGACTAGCAGAATACAGATCGATGATTGACGAGAGAGAACAAGAGAGGTAACCGGGGGGACCTTCTGTTTTTCACCAAGGGGTAACCTGATGTCTCACTCACTTCGAGAGGAGGTGGTGGTGGTTGCGGGTGTCGCTTTGATCGAGTGTCGATAGAAATTCAAAGACAAAAAGAACGACAGCGAGAGAGCTCAAGAAAGAGAGCAACGAGCGGAGGGCAAGGGAACTCAGTGGGTCTGAAGGTCGAATTCAGCAAATCGCTCCCTCCACCAGCAGCACCGCCTCCTCGCCCTCGCACACGGGTGGTCAGCAGGGCGGGTAGAGGCAGTCACCACGCTCGCCCTCCCCTTGCATGCACGCCATTTGCATTGTCCTCTCCCCGTGCACGCACCGGGCACGCACCGCCCTCAAGATTGTCCTGCCAAAGAGCCATGGGAGGCAGGAAGAGCCACGGGAGATAAGTAGATGGATACAAGGCACCAAGACAAGTGCACCAAACAAGGAGACCGCGGTAATGCCAAACAAGATTGAGACAGAAACAGCAAACAAGTTAGAAATAATCGCAAACAAGAACAGCAACAAGCAAAAAGCAGCAGCGTTTGAAGGGTTAACCAAGGGGACCTTCTGTTGTACCAAGTTTGAACCAGGGGGACCTTCTGTTTTACCAAGGGTTAACCTGATGATGCACTCACGTCCAGAGAGGGTGCTGGCCGTGGGTGTCGCCTCTATCAAGAGCGTGGATGAAAGCATTGGAGGCAAGGAATAAGACAGCGAGAGAGCTCAATAGAGTGAGTAAAGGGCTCAAGGGAACTCAGTCACTCACATCCGGAGAAGGTCGTGATCGTGGGTGTCGCCTCTATCAAGAGCATCGGTGAAAAATTCCAAGACAAAAAGAGAGAGAGAATGAGGAGGTGAGGGTAAGGAAACTCAGTTGCTTTGGTTGTCGACTGCAGCTGATCGTTGCCTCGCATGGCTGCATGCCAGAATTACACCGCCTTCACCACGCCAGCCCCTCCATCCGCCTCGTGCCATCCGCCTTTGCCTCTCTCTGCCTTCTCGCCTCGCTCCATCCGCCAGCAGCGTCGCCTAAGCGGGTGGTCAGCAGGGCGTGTAGGGCAAACATACGCCCGTGGCTGCCGGCCGTGCGTCATCCCACCATGCTCGCCCTCCCCTTGTACACGCGCTGTCCTCATGATCCCCCTGCCACAGAGCGAAGGAAGGGATTAGAGCCAAGGAGGATAAGTAGGTGACCAAGGGCTACCGGGGGACCTGCCGTTGAGCAACGTCGATGGAAATTTCAAATAAAAAATATAATACTACAATGAGATACCTCAGGACGGAGAGAGTGAAGAGCGGAGGGCACGGGAACTTACTAGCTGGTTTGATTTGTCGACCACAGCTGATCGCTCCATCCGCCAGCAGCATGTCTCTTCCATCCGCGCGTGTCTCTTCCATCCGCGCGTGTCTCTTCCATCCGCGCGTGTCTCTTCCATCCGCGCGTGTCTCTTCCATCCGCGCGTGTCTCTTCCATCCGCGCGTGTCTCTTCCATCCGCGCGTGTCTCTTCCATCCGCGCGTGTCTCTTCCATCCGCGCGTGTCTCTTCCATCCGCGCGTGTCTCTTCCATCCGCGCGTGTCTCGTCCATCCGCGCGTGTCTCTTCCATCCGCGCGTGTCTCTTCCATCCGCGCGTGTCTCTTCCATCCGCGCGTGTCTCTTCCATCCGCGCATGTCTCTTCCATCCGCTCGTGTCTCTTCCATCCGCGCAAGTCTCTTCGGCCCACAAAGTCTCTTCGATCCGCGCAAGTCTCTTCTGTGAAATAAGTGAACAGGAATGAAATGACTAAGGAAAGATTGGGTACAAATACAACCCTAGAAACCCTGTACCCCATATGTGCTACCCCACTATAGCCTACAGCAACTATGTCATATAAATCTGACACACCCCCATAGGCAAAGTGGGGGAGAACAAGGGGTCACAAGACCAGTCAAGTAAAGCAAAGCAAAGCAAGCTCAGGGTGGATCACAACGTCACCACACAGTCCGAGCACAAGAGCAGGGCCAGAGGCCAGTTCACATGCAGGAGTACAGACATATATATATAAAACTAGACAAGCAAGAGCAGGTATATATATGTCACAGTACAAGTAAAGTCAAGAGGAGAGCAAGTGAGGCAAGACAGGCACAAGACCCAGCTGGGTGCAGAGGCGCTGATGGTCACAAGGCGCAAGTGCCTTGGTGAACACATCAGCAGTGTTGGCCTCAGAGGCCACGTACGCAAGCCGCAACTGTCCACGCTGCTGCAGCTCACGAGCAAGGAAGTAGCGAAGAGCAATGTGCTTCGTTCTGTGCTCCAGACGCTGCTCTCGACACAAGGCCAGCATGGCCTTGTTGTCTACG